CCCTAGTCTTCTTTTTACTGTTGGCATTCTTAAAAAACAACAACAACAACAACAAAACAACTCTCATTACCTTTTACCTCCTTTGCAAGGTTTAATTCCAAGAGGGCCTTAGCCTTCCTCGTTGCATTCCTCTAATAACTGTAGCTCACCAAGAAAATGCTCTGTTGTGTAATTGCTGCCTCATCATAATTGCAAATCAAGGATCAACCTGCCCAACCTGACTGGCACCCGGAGGAGTTACATTTAATCTCCGGCTCCTGCTGGCAAGAACAAATGTTCAATAGGCCAAGAGAGGCCGGCAAAAGGGCAGGGCTGAAGGGCTCTTGATGGCAGGTCTCTGCCTAGCTGACACGTGTTCTCTGCGTCAGTGGAGAGCATGCCTGCTGGGGTGCACCGCAACAGGCCTGAGCCTGCTGGGCTGGTGCCTGCAGGGCGCTTTGCAGAGGGCTGCGCATTGGGGCCCAGGCGTAGCCACATTTGCAGTGCATCCTGTACCTCAGCCCACGGTGCATGCTACTGCTTCCCTCACAGGGGCCAAGTCCAGGCAATACTCTTTCTGCGTGGGTTGTTTATGCAAACAGAAGTGCTGTCTGTAGACCAGGAAATTCAAATCACCGTCCCCAAGTTTATACATCACACCTTTACCACCTTATCACCCACATCACAAATAACTTAGCAAGTCAGTAATAATGTGTATAGAAGTATTAACATCAAGAAGAACATCAAGAACATCTAGAAGGCTGCCTTCCACCAGGACTAAAGGCTGGGATCCGGCCATCATTACACGTGCTTTGGCAAGAAGCCCACATAAGTCAGTTGGAAGTGGAAACTGAAGTGGACCCGTCTTCCACGTTCCTCAGACCACAGGAAGACCACTGAAGAGTTGTGCAGGTATCCTGAAGTGCTGCTATTAAACATTTGTCTTGGGACTCGACATCACCAACTTACACTGTGCATTGCAAATACGGAAGATTCACCTTCCCTGCCTCACATCTGCCTAACATGTCAAGATGTCCAACCTAATATTGGAGGTGACTTAGCTGTGCTGATATGACACTACTTAGACTGTAAAGTAGCCCTCACTCCTGAGGCAGAGCAGGGTGGACATGAGGACACGACTGAGAAAAAAAAGTCAGTTTGAGATCACAAGAGATGGTGCTTGGAGAGTTTCAGGTGTGTGACAGCATAGTAAGAGCAAAGACACGAAATAATATGGGAAAGAAAAGCAGCAGCAATAAGTGGGAAAGGTGAAGTTCAGAGGACAAAGATCAGTGCATGGGGTAAGGCAATTTCTAGAGAGCAAAAGAAAGGGCTAAGGTACAAAATCCAAAAGGAGATCTGGAAGAAGGAGTACAATGGCTCCCGTGATGGCATTTCCAACTGACTGAATGGTGAGATGTGCCAGTGCGTAATAAACAGGACTGTGCGTCCTTAAGAGACCAATGTTTGCATTTTCCCATGCTTTCCTATTGTGGAGATAACTTACTGAGTCATTTCTCTGATCCTGGAGACAAACGGAACAGACACAAAACATAACAAAACACAATAGCAACGGGAAGAGAGAAATTCCTCCCTCCCCCTTTTACCACACACGTGTTTTACGTAAGAACACTCAAAGCCTCCAAGTAGGACAGAAACAAGGAACAGACTGACAGAGCTTTGCGGTGCACATTTTTTGAATCAAGGTCACCTTCTCCACCATTGCATGAACAGTTAAAGCACGAATGCTGCAGTTCTCCAATCTGTTACTGTAAAATATTTTGTCCCGCTGCTTTGGTTAGAAGCCTTACCTTCCAGATTTTCCACAGACAGGGAATGGCAAGAGGAATTTGCTAGCTTTTTTAAACTTCAAAGCTCTTCACTTCAAAGACCCTGCAATTTTTCTCTCAAGATTCGTGCCCCACCCTCTGGAAAAAAAAATGCCAGTTTGGGAGTCTCTCAAAATACCACATTTGGAAGCTTGCAGACCACAGCCTTGTTTTCATATCACACATCTAGAAGTCAGCGTGACAGCATCACAACCTCTGCAAAGGGGAACGATGAACTGGGCACCCCACTAGGCTGGTACCCAGGCCAGCTACACCAAGACTTCCTATGCCAAATTTGCCTATGCAGAATTCACTGCTGATCAAACCCAAGCAAAGGACAGTTTCTCTCTTTAACCTCTGTTACTGTGCCAAGAACTATCTCAAGTCCTTTGCATTACAAGACAGTAACGTCCCATGAAGTCACAACGTATTACAAAGGTTGGTTCCAAATGCAGCCTTTTTGTAAACTCTAGAAGCAGCCAAAAAATTCCAAGCTTTCCTACGTAGCAGCCTCCATTCACCCTGCAGAGCACAGCAGGCTGGGAGGAGCAGGACAGTTTGTCACAAAGCAGCTCAGTGCTGGCACAGCCGGGCAGCAGGGCAGGCTGCAGGTTCTCAGTCGACCCATGTCTGCCTTCCTCCTGCAGAAGAGGAGCCCACGAGGCTGGGGCTCAAAGGCAGACACAGCACAGCCCAACTTCCACAACTTCCCACTGAGTGGTGGTTTCACCTTAACGTGCCCTCAACTGGATAACTTGAGTGAGAAAACAGAGGCGAACCCAGCAAACAGGAACCCTGCAGAGGGTGGGACAGTGCAAACAACAAGACCAGGTGAATAAATCAGGACTGGCTGTTGGCTTCCCTGCAAGGAACCTTCCATTAAGGCTCCGCTGTATATTTTTGGACTCCACCTCTCTATTTTTAGGAGGGATAATTAATGCAGAAGGAAATAAGGAAGGAAAAAAAAATAAAGCCTGGAGTCTGAGAATGGAAAAATTTGTATTCTCCACAAAATTGTCCACTATGATTAAGGAGGAGTAAAAAAAGGGTTCTATTTCATGAGTAAAAATACGCTACAAATCACCGTAAAAATTATATGTTACACAGTATTCGCTAGGAGAAAGGAAGCATTTCCAGAAGACAGCATTTCCCCACTTAACTGTTATTAAAGAGGAATGAATGCTCAGCTTTAAAACGCAGCTGCACTCTGGCTGTGTGTCAGGGCAGCTCTCAGCTGTGCTGAGGCTGTGGGTGCCTCTGTGCTCTGCACTCTGGCTTTGGGAAGGGCTGCCTGACCTCTGACAACTGGCACGGGCTCTGTCCAGCTCCCTGCCTGCAGTCAGCAAGAGAAAAGTCACAGGCAAGTTGCTGAACACTCTCACCACGTGCTGGAAAACCCCAGGAGCCACGTGCAACACTGTTGTGGAACAGAGAAATACAGTCTAACAGGGAAAAGCAGGTCCTTAAAATTATCTGCCTGAAGTACAAGGCCCTTCAAGCTAGAAAATGTTGTTGGTTGGTTGCTGTTTTTTTTTTCCTTAACGAAAGAGAATATTCTCAGAGCAAACAAAACCAGAAGAGCTTCGCCCTGCTCTTCTGTTTGTGTCTGCATTCCCCACCTCACTCGGAACAGCACCTGCCTCCAAGCAGCCTCCCTGCTGCTGCTCAGCCTTGCACTGTGCCTTGCAGCCAGGAGCGCTCTCTCCACTCTCCTCCCTGGAGCAGCACCAGCTCATTGCCACCCAGCCACAGCCCACCTTCACTTTACACACCACTTTTTCTACTGCAAGGGTCACTTTGTCTTAGACTGAATCAAGCCTATATATTCCTGGCACCACAGGGAAAACTGATGTGAAATGTTTAACAGCAGCAGAACATGTCAGGAGGCAGCATCCAAGTAATGTCTAAAACAGTACCTCCCTTTTAGGTGCCCCAGAAGTGTCTTTGCTTTGAAAAGCATCACACAAAAAATTATCTTTTTAACTAAGAACTGCTATTTCCTCAAAGAATGACTGAGGTATGGGAAAGGTTGCAGCTAGGAAAAAGCTCTGGGAAGTATTCATTACTAATTCCTAATCATACCTTTCCTGCCTGACAAACACTTGCCGCTGTGCCTCTAATCAGAACTTCTTTCAAACACAGCGGTTGAGGATCTGTTTATTTCTTTGCTCAGGGAGATAAACATCAGCTTCAAGGAGTTAAAAAACTACTGGAAGAATGATGACATGCTGCAGGGTGTCTTTGCTAATGAATGGTGTTTCTAATTTTAAAAAGGTTTGCAGATGTGACACACTGTAACGAGCATCTGAACTACCCCATGGAAATACTGCAAAGCACTACACAGTAAAAGGGAAGCTGAAGCATCTGTATTTTGTATGTGTCCAATTACTTTTGATAATAAAATGTCAGAGTAGTATTGTCCACAAAACCCAGAAGCCCAGATTCATGAGATATTTATGCTTGAGCTTCTGGCTTCTCTGATTATTTCCTCAAAATTGAGGTCATTCTAAGAATGACAGAAGCCAAAAGCAAAGCAGACTGGCTGTTGCACAGGTTTTATCAGTAATAAGATACATAGTCACCCCTAGCTCAAATCTAAGCCCAATACACAACAAATACCTGAAGTCCATCACGCAGCTACAGCTTTTATTTGAATGTGGGACACGAGCTCAGGGCATTCATGCAACTCTTGGGTGACAGCAGCAAACGAGGCACAGCCACTGACACCCATGGGCATCCCCCAGAGATGTGAACACAGAGCTCTGCCTAGAAAAATCTTTTTTTTCCATGATAATTTCTGTAGTTAAAATGTTCTTTAAAGAAGGAAAGCAATACTTCTTAAACAAAGCACCTATCAACACACAAAATCCTGTAGATGGAACATTTTTCTGTTTTTCTAGAATCCTGCAGAGAAGACATCAGTGACAGATTTTGCAAGCAACTGATGCCCCATTAAACTCACAGCTCTTCTTCTGTTCACATAAATGATGTTAACTGGAGAGCATTACCTATAAGCACTGCAAAGAGAGATACCACAACTTTCCCATGATTATATCCCTATCATTTCTAACTCCAGTGTTTCACACTTACCTTCAGTTCTAGAGCAGAGACACCAAAAGCATGTCCGATTCCTTGGGCAGGAAACTAAACTTGAGATCTAACTGGACTCTTCTATATTGCATTTATCAGTATGCCAAAATGACTGTGCTGGTGAAACACACAACAGAAAGTGTATGTAATATGCTGCTGCAAAATCTACCTTCCTGAGCTGTCAGCAGTCACTCTGGGGCAGGAGCCAGGGCAGCTCACACAACCAGGGACAAAGGAGATGACAGACTGAGCTGACAGCAGCACCTGCCTCAGGAGGAAAGAGGTTCAAGCAATGTAATTTTGAACAGCATAGACACAGACTTGTGGAAATAGAGAGAAGATGAGGATCATCTGTGAGGTCCAACAGAAGGTTTCATGGGGCCAGGGTGGATGCCTGTTTTCTCTATAACTGTGCCAAAGAGCTTGCCTGCTGCTCCTACACACCCTGTGAGGGCAGGGCCTTAAGAAGGCAGTTCTTTCTGGTCTGTCTGCATATTCACAGACTTACTAATTGAAACATATTAGCAATTAGGGGCCTACACTAGGCAATGCCATTTGGACCACTTTCTTCCTACTTCGTTCAATTCAGTGATCAGGATTTTTATTACAATTGGCAGATGAAGTCTGATGTATGTGCCTTTGCTTTTCAGAAAACCTCAGACATGTCACGACTCACATGCTGTTGAACCTCGTGGAGGAGATATAGCCTTGGGGTCTTCTTGGCTTTCATTCCAATCACTCCTGCTGTTTTCAATCTTTTTATAAGTCTGAGCATCCTGAGGATGATTTCCTGTAGAATGAAGAAATTAAATTTGTTACTATTCTGCACAGCTCTATGATACATATATATTTTTTTCTTCATTTCTAGTAAAATCAAGTTAGCACTTACATTTCACATTGTAAAACTTCTTTTCAGGCTATTTACAGTCAGATAACCAATATATTACACACTATCTAACCACTCTGACTACAGAGTTGCTCTCTGTTGCCAGGGGAAAGTTCACTTGATCAGTAATTTCTCCTGCAATTTATTGATCTCAGACATCCCAAGTTCTAGAAACCTGTCTCAGATGAAGATTCAAAAAGCCTCTGAATTTCAGACACATATTCCAATTACACATGGGGTTTGACTGAGCCATCTGTATACAAATCAAATGAAAAATTGGCTTTTGAAAAATTGTCTTTAAAATATTATAAGCAAGCAGAAGGAAGCTAAGTGTTTGGATTTTGACTGGGGTGCTCATCAGAAAAGACATCCAATGCTAGATTTCTACAAGCAATGCCTTACTTTGCTTTAATGTCTTTCCCCCAGGGATGTCTTGAAGTGTTTATGAGTGCAAACTCCAGTTTTTCAAAGAAGTCTGCCCTGGGTTTTCCTGCAGCAATGGTGGAACTCACACAGACCTGGATGGATGCAGGAATCAGGTCATATTGCACAACTGCACAACTGTAGCCTCTAAATCAATTTAAAAAAAGGAGAGATGAATTATTTTGTGTACTACTGCAATAAAGGTAACACAATCCCAGTATCGCTCAGCAAGGCAAGTTAAGTGTAATATTACAATATCCTTATACATAAGAACAATATTCCTAGAAACCAGCATTTAAAGATGAGCGCACAAATAGCTCTACTAGATACTCAAAGGTGTTATATTTCAAAGTATTTCCAGTTGGATAACAACATATTTTGGTTAAGAGATTTATAAAGTGCTTTAGACATAGCACATGCAGAGTTAGATTTGAGTCACTACTCTGAGGGCTTAGTTTTTCATGTTTTATTTTTAAGCAAGCTCGGATGCTTACTTTCAGATTATGTTTGGACCAGCAGATAGAATCAAAAGTTCCTATCCCCTGCATCCTTCCTTCTCTGGCTATTATTTCATCTTCTCCCCCATCTGAAAGGTGTCTATTGTAAGTGGCCTGAAGGAAGTTGTCCTCCACCTCTCCTTCTATCGCATCCTTTGTGGCAGTGCTGGTATTCACAAAATCCTGCAATAAGCTGCTTCAAGAAGTCAAACTGACAGAAATCTATTCTGATAAAAAAAAATATTGTTTTGGAGGCAATGCACTGTGCAACATACGGGAAGTTCTGCTCTACTGGAAAGGTCTCCCAGTTTGCAGTTCAAGTTGTACCCTGACTCTATCCTTGTGCCATCCCTAAGCCTTCTCCCCTGTCTGGTAGCAGTGTTGCTCTGACTACCAGTCAGAAGATAAAGAGATGTAAAGCTATCCAGCTCCAGGGAACTTTCCTGTAAACATTTCTACTACTTGTTTCTGGTAACAGCAGTAACCTTGAACAGCATTAGTTCACTCCTAAGTCATTTCCTCTATACTACTCAATGCAGTCCAGTCTCACCAGTCAAGACAACTCTTCTGCAAAAGTAGAGGTGTGAGCAGGTCCCTAACAGCACCAATCCTTACCTTCTGTCTGTCTTCAGGTCCAGTACGTTTGTGCTAGGGATTAAGGAAATCCTAATGGTGGGTTAGCACACTGGTACCTGGAAACCAATGGAAACCTTTGAGATCTGCAGAACAGGTAGGTGTGTTCAGAGATTTGGAACTTTGCTTTGGAATCTATTTTATTACCTGATTTATATCCAGTTCAAAGAGGTTATCAAACAGCAACTATTGAAGGTAAAGATGTACTGGGAACATGAGCAAAATAATAAAATGGTTAATAAAGAACTTTAATCAAGAATGAAAGAATGATAAAATGAAAAAGAAAAAAAAAAGTTATAAAACTTAAGCCCTCTCAAAGCTTTTTAGCATACCTGAAAAGATTATGAGGTTAACTGATAAACCCTTTAACACCAACCCACAGTAGCCAGCCCCACACAACAAATAATTTTATCAATCACCAGAGAAAGACACTTTAGTGAGTTATTAATAATATTAGCAGAATACAGTATCCTAATACAGAGTAATCTAGACTGCTTGGTAAACTGGGTACAAACTGATAGAATAAAGATTAAGACAGACCTTTAGAAAGACAAATTTCACCCCCTTACTTACCAGGTGGACAGCTCTTGCTCAGGAAACAGGAAAAAGTCTCGATCAAAGGGCAGCTGAAGCAGAATTCCTTGCACATCTTAAGCCCAGAAAGACTGCAGACATTTTTGGGCAGAAATGCACAATATTTCAGTTCAGAAATTAACTGGTACTGAAACATACACTATGAATTATCCACATACACAAAGAACCAGAAACTAACTTGAAGCTGCAACGATGGACTCACCTGTTAATGCAGTCTGCAGCAGGGGCTGCCTGAATAAATTCTTGTTCATTTGGAATGCACTTCAGAAAAAATCTTTCAGTGCAATTCAGGTATCTACAGACCGAGGGAGTCGTTAAAAAGCAGGAGAGTCAAAGCTCAGGCACGAGGAAAGTTACAGAACTGGAAATACACTTATGCAACAGCCTTGGAAAGCTCAGTCTGACATACCAAGGGCCCAGCACAGGGTACAAGCAACAATGAGACCCAAAGGCAGATGTTTGCCATGCAAATTCATACCCAGAAACAAGTTTTTATAGAAAAGGTTAATTAACCATTAAATAACATACTACATCTCCATATAATTTCTTCTGCACTTATCCAAACCAGCCAGCCAACCAACTCCAGTTCCAGAACAGCTGTTCTACCAAGGCCCCATCTGCCCTGATGACTCAGGTCATCTCCAGGCATTGACCCCCTGAGGACAGCCACAGCTCCAGCCCAGCACAGTGCTGCAGCACTGCTCTCCTTGCACAGGGAAACTTCGTATCCTTACAGCCATGGGACTGGGAGCATTAAAAAAAGCTGAGCAGACCTCACAGTGCCTGGTTTCTGGCTTTTGCCAATTATTTAGTTTACGTAAAATGAAACAGTGACTTTACAGAAAGAGAATGAAAGTTTATGAGAAGCCAATTAAAACCCCACTGGTTTGCAGCATGTCCCCTGTGTGCTTCTCTTCCAGGTTTCAGTTTCCCCTACTTATACTAAGGAGGGTACACAAAAAGCAGTACCAAGAATTCAAGCAAACAGATACTTTAGAAATAAGTTAATTTTATTGAATAGGCATTATAGCTTCTCTCTGTTTCAAATAATGAGAAGTCAATTCACACAGATTACAGAGCTATCAGTTACTTGGAGTAATCTTTCATAAAAGAAAGAAATTAAATACAGTTCTGCTATAAAAAGTGCGACAGTTATAACTGGAAGTTTTTCAAAACATAAGCAAGTTTTACTACCTATTGCAAAAATTGGTTTAGTGCTTTAATACTTTACAAAGGAACAATCCAACTGCTAAAAACAGCTCTTACACATCATCTTTGTCAAATATGGATCAGATTAAAAATGACATTTAAATTGAATTAGAATGAAAACTGCAGGTAGAAAAGGTTCCCAAGAACTCACACTTTTCACAACAAAACACACTCATTATCCTTTAACGTTACTGAATGCTCATTTCCTTTGAACAATGGATTGAAATATATGGCAGTCAGCTTAAAAATGACCAAAAGTTTTCACTGCAGGCAAAAGAGACTCCAACCAACCACACCTTGGAATTGTGACTAGGGAAGGCAATGGGAAAAGACAAATTCATTTCTTTCACACGTAACAAAAGTCTTGCATGAAAATGATCAAATACAGACAAACCTAAAAAGGCGCTTCAGCTTTAAATGTGTTTCAGATACACCTTACTAAACTGCTTTTTGAAATCCTAAATCAATCTCTGCTAGCAGAATATAAATATATAGAAGACGTAGAAGAAATAGAAGAAATAGAAGCAACTGAAACACAAGCTCTGAAAAACAAGGTTGGTTCCACTACACCAAGAACTTAAATTCTTAACCCACCCCACCCCCCCCCCAAAAAAATCAGCAAGGCTTGCTTTATTCCTTATTAACGTTTACTTGAGAGTTGGTGAGAGCCAACCACCCTTCTTTGAGATACACAGTGAAGGTGCAAACACATTGCTTCAGTTTTAAAAAAGCTTGGTTTGCCAGGTTCTTAGAAAGAGTCACATTACCTGTCCTGTTTTATTCTTTATTCTATATAAATAGCTATGGTTATAATTGAAGAGAGACTCTCAATAAATGAGTAAATGAACTTCTATGAATGGAGTGTGGCATCTGTGCTATTTCAAATCCTGTTTGCGGAAACAAGCTACTCCGCATGCAAACTGCACAGAGAGGGAAAATGCAGCAGAGGCTTAAAAATGTATCCTACACAGATGAGAACAAAGAGCTTTCAGACTTGTCCAGGAAGTAGAACATAAAAAGAAAATATTAGCAGTAGCAAAAAAAAAAAGTGTGAACAATTTGGGGAGGGCAAATTACACAATAATAAAGTTGTGATCAATTAGCTACTCATACCTTTTGTGTATAACAACTTGGACTGCCCTACAAGATTTACCCTCATCTGAAAGGCATTAGGTTTTAACACAGAATTGTGTAACACAAAGCCTACTGAATATCAGAAATACAGATGAACTACGCCAATGCTTTCAATATCTCATTCAACTTTTTCCACACAAACACACCAGTCACAAGAATCAATGAGGAGGAACAAAGCCTTCCAAGGAGAACACTGCCTCTCTGCCATGCAAAAGTTAACTTTGAGACATAACAAGAAGTTTTTAACAGTATCTCATTTCTTAAAACTGAATGCAAAATAAAGTCTAGACTGATTCCAATAGGAATGCAAGAGTTGCACAGTTTTGAAAAACTGTTTCATAGCTGAATTATGGTAAGGCTGGCACACCATGAATGCAATACGGAGTTCCCAGAGTTAAGAGCAATGGGCTTGAAAAAGACACAAAGTAAATGCTCCTCCCCAGGAAAGAGCAGGGACCTAATCTAGATCGTTTGGACAGAATTTCATACAAAACTGTCAAAGCTGACCTGGATTACTACGGTAGGAACTCCTCGCTGCTTAGGCCTAACGGTCTGATTCCATTCGTTATTTAACTTGGCCTTAAGCCCCGTTTCTTTTCCTTGGTTTACGTTGAATCAATTGAGATTGATATTATGTATGTGCAACACTCCTTGAGGCTCCAAGCATTCTGTGTACTGTACGTGCACACTACAAAGACCATATTTACAAAACTTGGAACCTTGAACAATTAAATAATAAAATCATTGCCTGATATCTGCTAGTATTAAAACGGAACTGCACACAGTTTGCAAAGGGTAGAGACGAGAGCGCTTCTACCACGCCTGCATGGCTGTACTTCAATTTACACCTGATTGCAAGCCCGCTACAAAGAGACGCCAGGCACTCTCCTAGCCTGAGACACCACGGTTTGCTCTGACATCCTCTGCATATGTTAAACAAAAGCACAGGAAAGAGGCTTTGTGTCAGTTAAAACTGGAGGCAACAACAAGCCAGTGTTCCACGCCACCTGCACTGCAGGCACAGCACAGCCACCAAGGGCCACAAGGAACCGTGTTTGCTCCGGGTCAGCCATGCCTCTCAGGCTCCTGACACACCTCCAGGCTTCACTGGGCAAACATGCTATGCCAAAGGATCCCAACTTCATCACAGCAAAACAAGTCCATGGGATTTACCTCAAAAGTAAAAAAGCCTTTCACCTCCTGGCTCCCTGAAAGCGCAGCCCCAGCCTTAAGGCCATTTTTTGTTCACGTTGCTTTTGCACATGAATAAAAGAAGTCATTATCATACCAGTTTTCTTGTTTTTAATTTCCCACTTAAAAAATAAATAAATAAAAAAATAAAGAGAAAGGGGAAAAGGAAAGTGAAATACACAGCACTCACAGAGGGGCACCTTAGGCACTGTCTAGTTCTAACACTGGTTCATACTTCTGTAATCTCAGATGATGTGGACACTGCAGAATTTGCTTTCTGGCAAAGGGTAAACCTCTGCATCAAAGTAAAAGGCTACAACATGCAGAGATAAATGGCAGAGCAACATTCCTTTGCTTTCCCAGGACACACAAAGATCTACACTTCCAGTCCTGAAAGGAAATGGTTCCTGACACAACTTAACCTTCCCTTCTGCAGTACTGTGGTGCTGACATTCACCTGTTTTTACCCTTGTCGCTTATGTTGAGTAAGGTCTTCTGACATGGTGACACTTATAAAGAACTGTAAGTTTTTAAAGCAAAACGTCTTTTAAAGTGACAGGTTGTTTGGGTGAATATGCAGACGCTTATGCAGAGTACAGCAAGTCAGAATGCTTTACAGCCATGGCTAAATGAGAAGTGGGGCAGAGGCTGCATCCAGCTAAGTGACTCCTGGTCCCCAGAGAGTCGTAATTTTAAGGCTGTTTGGAACCTGGTGGCTTTTACCCAAATCACGTGTTCCACAGTGCAAATGTGCATCAGCCATTTCAATTCTCCTGATACAGTACATGCATTCAGGTAATGGGAGATAAAACAGCAATCAGAACAGTGTATTTACTTGAGAGGAAAAAAATGAGTACGCTACACAAGAACATCAGTGGAATACACCAGCCCTGTTTTGACTGCAGTAGGTTAATGTATACCAATATGGTCTTTTGGTACAAAGCAAGTCTCTCCATAGGCATGCAATCACTCTATGAATAAGCCCAATTATTTGTTTATACATGGAAAAACACTGAAGATAAAATGCAATTTCCACTGAGTAAAAATAAGCAGAAAAATAAGTAAAACCCTGAATGTGCGTTGGAGTATTGCTGCCCTGATTTTCTGGAGGCAGGAGCTTGTTCTCCCCCAGAAACTGATGCTCAGTCCATCTTAAAACCAGTCTGTTTATTAGGAGAAACCTGAATGCAGAATCATCACATGAGGCATCCAGATCCTACTTTTTTGGTTGGAGTACACAACTTAATAGGAGATTCATTTAAATTAAAAAAAAAAAAAAAAGCAAATAAAATCACAGAAGTTAGAATTCTAAAATCTTACTGACTCCCAATTTAAAATATGCCTCAGTTCTTAAAGTCCTTTTTTGGATGACTCACAGGTAATTGGGATGTACAGTACAAAAACCCATGAAGAAATGAATTCTGCACACCTTAATCTGCAGGGAGGCAACACATTTCAACTATATTCAGATACAATGCATCTGCCAATTACAAGATGACATTTCTATGATCTGTAGTGATTTTCTTCCCACAGATGCTAAATCACTGCACTGATTACTAAGTCTTGCTTTTCATTTGCCAGGAACAGTAAATCCAAGACCCCATCTTTCTAAAAAGCAAAATCATCGTTCATCAGTGGATGCAGGGTATGTTCTCAACATCCCGGGTCAATCAGTAGCAGTGCAGAAATGCTTCATTTGGTAAGAAAACTTTCCAGATGAATGTTTATTCATAAGCTGCTTATAAAAGTGGCTATTGGTAGAGACCAGAAGGAAGAATGGAAGGAGATAGGGAGGAACAGTGTTTTACCAAAACATATGAAGAAAACTTTAAAGCTTTTCAATTAAGAAAAAAAAACCTGTGTATTCAACTCTCATTAGACACAGATGTGCACAACAGACAGCAGTTAGAAACAACACACACATTTTTACAAAGCTTTCTTTTCGTGGTTAATTTCTACCAGCACTTTGGAAGGTAACCTACTAAAATGATGACCCTGTTCATAATAAAGGCGCAAAATATTGCTCTGTAGCATATTTTGAAAATAATATAAAAATAATTTCTATATTACAGTTTAAACTTGGCTTGTAAAATTCCAACATAATACAGCCTTAAGTCTACAAACAGAACATACTTACAAACACTGCTGTGGTTTTTTCCTCTCGTTTTTAACAATACAGTATTTTTAGTCACGTACGTAGGAAATTAATGTGCAAATTAAAAGAGGGATTAGTGCCTGATACCAAGATAGCTTAAGTTCTATGCTGTATACCTTTTGGTGATCCTCTCTGCAAGCTGTCGTACCTTAAAACAAATACGTTCCAAATACACTGACAGAGACTTAAAGTACACAAAGCTGAAAAGCCATCCACAATCACCATCAGTTACTCCTCTGGACCTCTGTCTGAGATCATTGTGGTATCTGTCAGCACACAGGTTCCTGACTGCAGAGTATTCCCAGTGTGAAGACCTTAGTTCTGTGTTAGCTCATACTCTGCTCTGACATCCAGCTTGCAAGCATTTTAAGTGTCCGTGAAGCACCCGACTTAAGGCCCCCTCTGCTAATGGCATTCTGTCTGCACATTTCAGAGAACAGCAGATTTAGCCCACAAAGACTTAAAGCACCCCTCTGCTCCTCAGGCACAATTCTCATCCATTCTCTCATTGGAAGAGCACCGATAAGCAGCCTGAGAACAAGCACTGGCTGAAGGGCTCTGGCCTCCATCCCACCAACATCTATGCTAAGTTTTTTAACAGTTATGTTACGTTTCTGAAAATAAGCAGTCTCCTTTATGTCAGGAAGACTGTTCATATTGGTGAAGTTGAGCACCAGAGTAATTGTTTGCAGAATCAGGGAGTTGGAGGGCAGTATTTTGTCAGATCTGTGCTGTGCATTTTTTGATATCTACACATTCATCATCACAAGAGAAGTAGATTACCCTGAATATGCCTGTATGTATATTGCCTCGGCAGACTGCTTTGATCTGCAGTCAAACGGTGCACAAACCCATGTTAAGCATCTCTCCTCAATGCTTTCTCTATCAAGTGATACTGCTCATACCATGAGTTTTGTGATTTTAGCAAAGATGACCCTGAAGACTTCACTTGGCCTATTTAGATGCACTAAGAAATAAGCAACGCAATCTCCAAATACAGCGTTTTACTTTCACTGATGCTTCTCGTGTTACCTTTGACTTAGGAAGAAGGAAGTAACTGCTAAAGGAATCTGGGTCACAATCACTGTTTCCACTGCAGTTATAAAGCATAATTAATTATATTAACAACAGGTTAATCAATCATTTAAAAATCACTAAAAAGTTGCTTTTGGTTATCTATGCCACCTTCTTCTGAATGAGCTGCTTGTTGGCCGCCTGTTAGAACTGACACCCACATCTGAAAAGAATGCTCAAAGTCCAGCAATAGCTTATTAACTCCTTGTAGAGAATTTTAAGTGGAACTTCAATATAAAGCGTGACTGAAACCCATTATGTATTACAGGCCTACAGTGTTATGAACAGACCTTCACATGTGTTAAAAATTTCAGCTTCCTCCAATCTAAGTATCTCCTGGTGATTCTGCTGCTGTTCTGGGAGGGTGTAATCAACCCAGGCTTTTAGATTCTGGATAACAGTGATGATGTCCAATTGCCATAAAAGAGAAAAAAGGCACGTACAACGGTAAATGTAAATATGTGTATTGCAGCCACACGAGCTAACAGAAAAAATGAGCAGGGATCTCCAAAACCAAGTGATTTCTGTACAGCTTAGGCTCAGTGGTAACTTACAAGTTCCGACAGGGGGCCAGGTCAGGCAAAGACTGACACAATCCCTATTAGATGAGTCCTTTATCTAAATACTGACCTTCTGTAAACTTCATGTTGTGAATAGCATATCTTAAAAACATACTTCACAAACAATTCCACTGAAAAATGGAAAGCAGTAAATTCTCATGGTAATTCCTTGGTTTTGGACATGCACTGTTATTGTTCCCCTCATTCAGAAAGAAATACCTGACTCAGATCCATGCCAAAGTGCGTCCAAAGGTGCATTTTGCTGCTAACATAGTGTTTCTTAAGCACAACTTCGCAAAAACATTCCCCAGAGCATCAAATGCAACCACTACTGTAATGCTCTAAGAATTCTTAAATATTTATTATATCAAGTTTTACCCTGTCAGATTCATCCACCTCAACAGCAAATACAATATCATCCAATGTTTCATCTAACATATTCTGACCTAACTTAACTTGAAACCACAGATTTCTTTGGCAATGAGAACTTGCATGTCTTCACAACATTTACCCCAAACAGGTCACGGCTTACCATTGTTTTCAACCAGTCACACGTTTTAGAACCTGCTTACCTTAAGGACAGAAGTCCCAATGAGTTTTAATTCCTCATTAGGCTTCCCAATACTTCCCTTTTATGAAAGGCTGCAAATTCAGTGACATCCAGTGTGTGCTCAGAATACTGCTCAGATATATGAAGTACAAGTCTGGATTCATGGAACAGCAAACAAGGGATGGACCAGGGCTTTGAGGAGCAGCTGATGGCCTTACTCTGAAAGTAAATCTTTAAATCTTTCTTTAAATCTCTTTAAATTATGTAGTCAATTTTAAGTATGTGTTCAGTTTCATAAATTTCTGAGGGACGTGAGCAAGTGTGTATGTGCTTTTCAGAAACATCAGCATAAGGCTGTGTTGTGTTTCATGGGCTCCTTCACACACGGCTTTGAGACTAGTTAGCGTTAACTGTGTACAAGCCAACCATGCCAGGAGTCAAAACGAGTACACTAGAAAAGCAGCAGAAACAATGATCCCTGAAGGCTGGAAAAATGCTATTCTGTAATGCACAAGGCAGGACTCGTGTCCTGCACCTTGAGATGGCAGAGAAGCATTTTTGAAGGCAATGCTATGCTGTACTTCCTTGTGGAAAATGAGCTTAAAAAAAAACGTAGGGACACGGCTGATGAACCATTGCTCACAAGCACAAATACAGAGAAGATCTACTCTTGCTAGATTATGCCAACAGGCGGTGGGAATGGCATAAAAAAATGCATATGCCATACTCAACAAAACATGCTAATTTCAAGCATCTACTTGAACAGCATTTCTGGTATTTGCGTTACAGAAATACTTCTATGAACACAGCTTTATTTTCAAAGGTACTGCAAATATTTATGTAAGTATCTGGAAATCAGACTCGTGCACATCTGTGCTAGGAGAAGGCGTTTGTACCTGTAGGCATTTTATAGCCATCTTGAAACCTCCAGGTAGATGTATGACTTGCTCAAGACGAAACAAAAACCGGTGGGGTCAAATGTCTTCAAGAAATGCTCAGAAGTAATTATGTTTGCAGTAACTATCAGTCAACAACATTGGAAAAGGAATAAACAAATAACGATTACATTTATATAATGGCTAAGGCAATCTGGGGATGCAATACATTTGTTTTGACAAGCAGTTCATTCAGCTCTAGATTGATCCTACATTTCCTAGCTGGTCATCAAATTTTCCAAATCTAATAGAATTTTTAGATTTTGATTTTAAAATAGTTTTTTTTCCCAAATTTAGCAGCAATGAAAATATTACTGAGATTCAGGTGCCCAAAATTATACTGAGTTTTATATGAATTTTCTTTGTCTTTTTTTTTTTTTCCTTAGGAAGTGAAGTCTTGCAGGTCATGTTTTTATATAAAATGCGTTTACAAATTCAATACAGGTAAAAATGGCGCAAATCTACTTTATAATGGAGATGTACAAATAACTGCTGAGAACTTAAAATCAGGAAGAGCTACAGCCCTCGTGAATTCAGACCTTTCACCTCCAGTTTCCTAGAATCATTCCGTCTCAAACTAAAGTGAGTATGAACATCAGTGCTAGTGCAGTACGCTGCCATCTTGAAAGTGTGCGTTATGCAAAAGTCGCTACCCTCCAGAAAGAAAGAAAAGCTATGAAAAACTTAATCTTGCTGAGGAAAAAAATACTCTCATGACAGCTATAGAATTTCAAATGTTTACAAGGCAGATACTACCCTACTACAACACCACATCTCCGGTATTATGACTTTCCCCTATCATACTACTACCTGAGTGATGTCAGTGTAAATTCAGGCACCATTAGTAAATTTTTGACCAAACATACACACAGCACTGACAAAGAAGTAAACAACCCTTCAGCTTACCCAGAGTATGTAAAAAAGACACTGACAAAATGGAAAATAATATATATTTTTTTATGATAAATTAATCCTATTATTTCCTCATTGCCCAGGAAAAGCGAAAAGCTAGACACTATTTACTCATCAATCCTTTATTCTTTTTTGAAGGATTCCTTTTACTGCAATTCAACACTGTTTACTCTGCAAGTAAGAAAATGGTAAAACTAAATATAGTCACGGAAGAATCCTCAATGCCTGTGTCCCTTACTTTCCCTCTCCCTGCGCTTCAGCTCTTCTTTGTAGCAGTACGAACAGTAATTGTCAGTCTCAGGACGACCATAAAAGGAACAGTTATCCTTCTTACAGCGGTTTTGCTGGATGGGATATATTGGGCAAACTGTGCTTCTGCCTTGATTTTTATCATTGTTCAACCAGGTCTGAGGAGCATCCTCATCAGCATATTCTAAGCAGTCTCTAATGTCGCCAGTATTAAATCCATTAGTGTATGTCTGAGACTTGTGTTCAGTAGGCATGGCATAGCTCAGTGATTCCACTGTGTTCACTGTGCGGATACCAGTTATCCGGGCCGGGCTGTAGCTCTGAGAAGACAGTGATCTGTTTTGTTGGGGATACGTGGCACAGGTTTTTAATGTGCCAACCACTGGCTTGTAAGTGTCATCTTGGAAGCTCGATGGCTTGGAGTTGACATCATGCAAATGGATGACACTCTGCCTTTGAACAGGTGGTGTATGGCTATAGTGGGCAGACACTGGAATGGGTCCACTTTTCTTAGCACCATTACTAGGTGAAGAAAATGACCCCGGAGTGGGACTAGTGCGATCTTTAAATTTTAAAACCAGTTGAGTCGTATGGCTTTGAGGCAAGACAGGTGATGCCCTATCCTGAGGAGATGTTTCTGACTTCTCTTTTGAATACGCTTCTGGCTCCAGCTTCCTACTAGACGACCCATTCAGCGCAGCCTTTTTCTCAGCATCCTTTCTTTTCTGTTCCTGCTCAGCATTGAAACGCTCCTGTGCGCTGGTTAGGTAATAACCAATCATCTCCTCATGGAACTGATGCCTGTGGCTGGTCAAAAGAAGGCCAGCAAAAATAAACTTGCGTTCACCCTGCATGGCCGCTCTCAAAATATTGAGGCTGAGTTTCACATCAGTGCTGTATTTCCATGGATCAGCCTGCTTGTCAGACAAGGATTTTGTGTTCATCTTTTCAATGGGTGAGTTGCTAGCTCTGTCAGTAGGAGATGGGGTGGTCTTTTCAGATGGAGAAGTGCTTGCAGACTGCCCAGATTCTTCTTTGCTTCCTTTTCGAGACTTAGACTTCTTCTCTTTGACTTTCTCCATGGTGTCACCGTTTTTTCCATTCCCTGAATTTGCCCTGCTCATTTTGCCATGCACCAGGCCTCCAAGACCACCCATATTCTTTTTCAGCTTAATTCCTAGGGTTTTACTGAGGCTTCCTATTTTATTGGCAACTGAATCCGTCCTGTTTTTGTCTTTATCCTTCCTCTGTTTGTCCTTTTCTTTTTCTTTATTGTTTTTTCCATTACTGCCGTTGGAATTACTACAGATGGAATCTCGGTCCGAGTCCATTGAGTCAGCCAGAGATTGAACGTCCTCCCCAGCTGAAGCTGTAGGGGATTCTGGTTGAGCCAAAGGGGCCTGCTATGGAAAATTAATTATAATTAGATACAGAAAAAGCAGTTTCATACAGGGACTTGGTGCAAAAAAGTATAATCTAATAAAGACTTTCAAAGTGACTTTAGAAGTGTACTTTTTATACTGACATTTTATACTGGTTTCTTTCTTATTTGGCTGTGCTACCTATCTTGCTTGCTCCTGCAGTGGCTTTTGGCTCACTCCAAGCTCATCTGAAGAGTAGAGGTCAGTCATTCAGAAGTTCTGTGAAAATCATTGTCTGAATGATGGAGAGACTCAAGTTAGTGCTCTCATCAAGAAGTCTGCAGCTCAACCTCCCTGTTCACACTGACCAGCAGAGTGGCTGCAACCAGTCACTGAACTGGAAGCATCCACAGTACTTGCAGCCTCTCAGCAAGCAGACAGAAGATCAGAAGAGAACTGATACCACAGCAATGGAAAATTAGCAAGGTTCTGCTGAAAGCTGTGAGGGGTGTGCAGCATACAAATCTGTCTGTAGTAATATTTCAAAATTCCTGATGTTCATAAAACAACTTAGTTAATTTCTTCGTTGTTCAGGCCTCCAGTCCATTTACATCAGTGCTACAATGCAACAGAGCTAAACATCTTGTCTGACATAGCGAATTTAATCACATAGACCAATAAGGTCTGCTCACTCTTACTGAAAATTCAATGCAGATAAAACTGATGCAAGACATCTGAGTTCCAAGTCATGTTTTAGGTAAGGTGATAAAGTATCTTCCTTGACAATGTGTAGAGTAAGAGGATCCTAGGACAATTTCAAATCTGTCTGCAGTCACTTAGTCCTGCAAAACTTAGTTTTGCATCCAAAACACCAATCTGCTCAAGATAAATATGAAACACTTAACTAACCATAGTGATATAGAACCACTCTGGAGATGTATACACCTTCACTGAAGAAATGCACACTTGTTTCTTGTCCCTGAGTACTTAAATGTCCTCTTGTCTGGAATCCTGAAGCAGGGAGAGGTAACGCAGGTCTCATGTCGTTTCAGGCTTACAGCTTACAATTACAGGACAATTTTGCCTCTCCTTTTTCTGATGTGGTGGCCACTGCTTTAGGGTGAAACTATAGAAAAATGGATTTTTTTTCCTCTCCAGCAGCTTGTTAAACTCTTTTTCCTTTTGTGTAGTGTTCCTCCTTTCAAATACCATCTGTGCAGGCTGTCTAAATCACCACCATCTTCTCCTAGCAACCTTTCGCCTTTAGACTAACCCCTCAATCTATTCAATGTAATTTGCAGAGAAATTTGCAGCTGATGAGGTGCCAGCTGGGCATAGTTCTAAGATAGTTTTTTAAAAGAACCAGGCTCCAGTTCACTGCCAGTCTGTGGCCTTTTGTCAGCCAGTCTACACTGGAGGCTATCCAGGAGTCCAAATCTGTTCTTAAAAAGAGAAAGGGCTGGGGTCTAGTGACCTAACAGTGGTATTAGGAGAGCAAGCCAAGGTTCTGAGAAAGAAGTAGTTAGAGAATGCCTGTTTTATTTTTCTGAACTGAAGGGGATACTGAAATAGATAAGAGAAAGATAAAGCTAGAAAATACACTTCAGAATGGAATGTAAGTTGCAAAAATACACAAGAAACTGTCTTAAAGACAGAACACTAGAAATCTACAAGCCTAGTGGCACTGACGGTGTGCCACAAGTGACTTGTCTCTGCTGCTAGGATACAGGTGGTTTCAGGCAGCTGGCCAGGACATGCAGCCTACCCTACACAACACCTTATTGTGCCTCATATCACTTATTTGGTTTAGACTGAGGAGGAAGTTTACCTTACCCGTGTTTCAGATGGTATGCGTATCCACGTTACATTCATATAGCTGTGTAGAAGATTAAGCTTTGCCTCAAGAGACAGAATCAAACTAAGGATGAAAACAGAAAGGAATACACAGTCAAAAACACACTGAGAAAAGAAGCGTATATGGAGAGATAACACTGCCAGCACAACAGCAGCCTGATCTGTGACCATCAGCTGGAGACCCACCCACCCACCCACCCACCTCCTCTCCCATGTAGCCAGAAAACAAGAACAAAGCTCCTTCTGGTAGCAGCTCTCTCAGTACTTAGATTAGGTATGGCTCAAGACATTTTACTGCTTCATACTAAAGCCACAGGAAGGTCTTACTTGGCCAGTTTGGTGTTGTCATTGTCATCTTTTCCCCATTCCCAGTCTTTCCCAGGATCGACCGCAAAGTGCAAAGGCAGTAGCTTATGTTCAGAGTCAGTCAGGGGGATCACCGCTAAAGTAGAGATAAAACAAGGATCGGGGTGGGAGCGTGGAACAGAGACAAAAGATCAAGCTGTGAGAAGCAGTTAAAAAACGCGGGTAAAGAAAAAGGCCAGAAGTTGGATATGCCACAGTACTGGCTCATCCCTATTTTGATGTTTGCGTGACAGAAGGGAAGAGTAACGCTCTGATTGCTACTGGCAATAGTCACCAGAGGCATCGCGGATAACAACACCATTTTGGATTGCACAATAAGTACTTCCCGGAGACAGAACAACTGAAAGCAATAAAATGTTGAATTATTCCTCTGCATCTCATACAGATGTGCACGTTTGCTAAATATTTTCATTTTCAGGTTTGTCAGTGCAAAACAAAACCATGCTAAGAAATAAAAATATACTGATAGCAGCATCATTTGACAAAGCAAGCAGTTGGTACAGGGGTTCTGGACTCAAACTGTGAATTAGCATAATTGAGGAGCAAAGATCAACATATATATGAGCTAAGAGGTCAGTTTAAGACCTGCCCTGAGTGCAGGGGAAACAGCATTACTGCTGTAATAACCCAGCATCACTCTCTATCTGCTTTGGCTGTTTTGTTCTTGCCCCTCCCTGCCAGAGCTCTGCCTTCTGACATATCTTAATGACTCTGCTTTACACTCAGCATGCAGAGATCGCACTTTGATTTCATGGAGTGTCTATCATCCATCACCACCAATAAACTAAGAGAAAAGCACTGTCAGCTTTAATTAAAACCAGCAATTTGCTTCCATTTCATTAGAAAACAGTCAGAAAGCTCCTGAGGGATCGGGCAGGATCTTCAGCAATGCAGGTCACTGCTGTTTCTCTGACAGCCAGTCAAAGAACTAAGTTTTCTGTGCCACAGCCCTTAAGGACTATACCTACATAGCTATTCCAGCAAAGTCAAGAAGCAAAGAATACAGAGAAATCATGCAGCAACATGGTGGTGAATTACTGCAAGTTTGTGGCATTTATTGGTTATGTGTTGATTACAGTATTTCTTGCAGTTCAGAAAATATGCTATCAAACAAAGACAGAGCATCTTTGGCTAAGTGTTACTCTTAGCAGAATGCAGGAAATATAAATTGCATTTTTATTAACATTGTTAAGTTGGTATTAGATTCAGATAGCTTGACAACTGCTGAAAATATGCTTATTTTTCATCTTATCTGAAGGTCTGGTAACAGTCAAAACTCTCGAATTTCGTGGAAATGTTGCCCCCTACTGCCTGTAGAAGGTAATTCCTGAAATATTTCCCCCTTTCTAACAGCAAATACAGTACAGAACAGCTAGAGACTGATCAGCTTCAAGTGCTGATTGCCTATACAATATCTCTATTATTACCTGGAGAAATACTCTTCAGGTTAGAGTATAAATACTGTGCCTGGCTATAAGAGATGCTTCTTTTAAGAAGTCGGAGCTCAAAGGTCTCAGTCTTCTGACAGTTCAAAATCTGGCCACGTACAGCGGTGCCTTTGCCATCCTGTTCTGACCCTCACAATTGCCCTCTCCCTTCCACCATACCAAAGCTGCCAACACCTCTGTGTTGGCAAGATACAAGAGCATCCGTGTGCCAATCTATTTCCTGTCACAGCATCTGAAGAACAAGCACGATGCTGTTAGCTGCCAGCAGTCTCTAACAGCAACCAGTTTTGCAGCTGAATGCCAAAGCATTCCCTTCGCGCCAGATTGAATGCCAAGTGTTCTCTGCTGCTTCATAGAATTGAAGCTTGTGTATTCCACACCCTGCAGTAAAACATGTAAAGCCAGATCATACAAAATAAATACTATTATTATATTACGGAGGCATGTTCTACAGGAAGACAACTCTGCAATTTCTAATAGACATGCGTAGAACCTGGTAACTTAATGGTATGGAGAATGTAAGAATTAGCTCTGCAGGCTTCAATTTCTCACAGGGCATTTCACATCATTCATCAGTGTAATGTTTAGAAAATGGCTCCAATGTGAAAAGCTTTTTCTTAAGAGCTCTTCTACAGATTGAGTCGGAAGGCTGCTGCACTGTCCCGGTGTGTAATGCAAAGGCTGGAGCCATTGCCCAGCATCTCCTTGCAGATCCCTGGAATATCTTTGTGCTACTGAAGGCTCAGCAAGTTGGCTGGATTCATTTTCTCATTGGATATCCGACTTACAGATCAACTTTTTTTTTTCTTTTTTTTTTTTTTTTCTTTCCATTTTTGTGTTATGATTCTGTTTCCACCAACATTAAGGCTGCCACGTGCAACATGCAGTGCTGCCCATATCATGCAATCTCACTTAAAAAAAAAAAACAACAAAAAACTCAGTTCCTTCCAAGAAGAAGGACTCAATTGGATGTCAGATTCTTTCATGAAAATGTTTATAATAAAATCTGTCCTTCAACAGTTTTTCCTCGTTTCAACATTGCGATGAACAGCTTTCTCTCTGTTGACAACTGCACAGCTGCAGCATGCTCACTGTCCCATAACCATGGGAAATACCAAAACACATCCAAAATCAGATGGAATGCATGCAGTGTTAGGGAACTGAATGTAAGATATTCAGTTGCCTCTAACCCACTCTCTGGGAAGAAGAACTAAAAGAAATTCACTCAGGAGATCTCAAAAACCACATGTTCCACATTTATGAGTACATATATTCATTAGGGATTTAAAACACCTCTGCAGTCACCAGCAAAAAAACGTGGAGGACTCACAGCTAATGTCAAGCTCCTCTTCACTGGATTCTTCTAAAGCCACATCACATCTTTAGCAAAAAACACTCTTCCCTTCTCCACCAAAGGAGCGAAGGCAGACATGAGCTCATGTGAGCTCTGCTTGTCTTGATCTGCTTACTATTAGCTTTGAATTTCATGAACTGGAAGCTTAAGTGGACAAGATTTATCCACAGCAGACTGGAATTAGAAGTTTGATTTGAGACTGGAAAGCCACACATGTACCCCTCTTTCTGTGCTGGGTGTCAGCACAGCAATCTGTAGAGGACAGCTGGATTAATTCATTTTATACCCATACTTACATAAACTTAAATGAGCTTTGTAGCTTAATGATTTTTTAAAATGCGGAGCTTTAGCAATAATGGTCATTTAAACCTATCATCAAAATATTCCATTTTTCATAGGAAGTACCGGAAAAACAAAATGGCTTATAGAAGTGCACACCATCTTAAAGCAACAACAGTGCTCAAGTATCTTAGCCTTTCACTACATTAATTATGCTCCAGCACTACGGAAGACACAGAAGTAAAGAGCACCAGCCCTTTGTACAGACCGCCAAATGGTGACTCAGGTGACTATTTGTTCTCAGAAGAACGTGGTAGCAATGAAATCAGGAGCCTGACTGCTTACAGTCTACCTACTTAGGAGTCTATGTTCCTTCAAACATGTATTTAAATCCATCTAACTGGCTTCCAACCAGACGCAAGCTCTAGAACTACTGGCTTAGCATTTCACAACATAGCAGTAGTGTAAACTGTTATAATACATATGGAGAACGTCCTAACATCAAAATCTCATGGCAATCTAAATGGCCAATTGTGTAAATATTAGGTCTGGGAGCAACTAAATTACCATTTCACAAAATTTATAAATATTTTCTTTGAATTTATTAGGCTTTTCCCATGATTTTATTAAAATGGCCTGTGTTAATGCTGCTGGGGGCTGTTTTTGCTTCTGTTTTAGGTTTAGGGGATGTTTTTCCTTTGTTTATTTTCGTTTTATCAACTGTAAACTCTCAGTGCTACGTACTGTTTTGTATGTGCATGAGATACTTGGGGAAGAATAGAAAGGGAAAAGAAGTAACTGGGTGGGCATGTCTTCCTTTAATCCAATACATATCCAGTGAAGCTTCCACACAGGCGATTATGCTAATTGTTGAGGTAGAGCTGACTACTGGAGTGTTCACCTTTGAGATTTAGCAAAAACTGAGTAGCTGATCTGTATAAAACCAATGCAGCAGGATTAAATTAGATACAAAAGAAATTTCAGAAAGGACAACTCCTAGCAAAGCAGCAAAGATGAGTGAACAGTCTTATCTGTAATACTTTGGAAGCATTTTGACTGAAGTCTAAATTTTTTAAAGTAAAGCTTTTACTAATTTGACAATTTTGCATGTATGATATATATATATATCATATAAAAGTGTTTGTGTACCTACATATGGCATATGAATATATATTTACCTGTGTGTACAGGGGGGCATCTTTGTCAGGAACAAGCCCCAGTGAAGGGCAAAGGGTGTGATTTAGTATGGCTACTTGATTTGAATAATTAACAGCAAAGGTAACTTTCAGTATGACAATCCCTAACTTGATCCAAAACTAATAATTAAAAAAAAAAAAAAAAAAAAGTAATTAGATCACAAACAGAATCCTTGAGAACATAAATACACAGTAATCAAAATAGCTGTTGTATGACCATAATGCTCTACAAACACTAGTAGAAATGCTTTTTTTCCTTCATTGGTTTTGTTGTTGCTTTTTTTTTTTTATCTGCTCTTACATCAGTTCTTCATTGACAACACCAAGCAGCGTTACTCATTGACCAAACACTGGGACTAAGAAAGCAACTAATACAGCAAAAATTTTATTGTAGCCTTGTGGACCACAACACTAGCAATAATCCAGCTATGTAGGATATAGGTTCAGTGCGGACGGGGAAGAATCAAATATTAACATGCTCTAAATCACTTAAGGTTTTCTGCTGACATTTCTATCACTTATTCTGCAAGTAGCTGCAGCTAAGTCAGACTTGCAGTATGAAGATATTAACTTCTATAGTTAGACACATATCTAGGTAACCAATGACAGGATGCAAGAGAATGACACAGAGCTGAGCAAGGGGAGGTTCAAGCTGGACATCTGGAAGGGCTTCTTTACCATAAGGTGGTAAAACACTGGTCCAGGCTTATCAGAGAGGTGGTTGGTGCCCCATGTTTGTCAGCATTCAAGAGGCATTTGGGTAAGGCCCTCCACGATATGCTTTAGCTTTAGATTAGTCCTGAAAAGGTCAGGAAGTTAGGAGATCTCTGAAGATCCCTTCCAGGTGAACTATTCCACTATGTTCTGTGATACAGTGAGAGATGGATTCCCTACGAGATACTGACTTTCTACTAATGAGGGAGAGCATCCAGACTGTTCCAAACAGCAGTCTGGCTTATGAAAATTCTCAGCACATCAAGCCCAGTAGTAGCTAGTTAACTACCCTGGATTTGGGTGCTGGGAAGCAAGAGAAGGGTAGGACGACCAAGTGCTGTATTACTTCTCACAGATATCTATTAGGCAAAGAGGTCTTCAAGTTAAGGGCAGTTACAGCTACCTCCTGGGCTGCTTGCGCAGGAATTAATCCACTCCTGACATTCTTGTCAATTTTAATCCTGTATCCAAGAAGCTCAAACCTGACACACAAAAGTTTGTTCAGCCTTTGTTGTCACTATTATAAAGTTAAACAGAAGATAAGGTATAAAGATAAAAACATTTTCACTAGATGTTTTAAAATGGAAAAACAAGTACATTTAGTGTACTAGAAGAGGCCTTTCATTACCTAATTCACACTTAGCTTTCTAAATGCTTTACAAACCCTAATTAACACAGTCCTTCAAGAACTTAGAAGCACAGCAGATAACTACAATTACAGCTATTTATATATGTAAAAAGACACAGTGATAAAGCAAAGATTAGAACTGAATAGTTCTTGGCTCACAGTTTTGATTCCACACTAAGGTCTAGACTGTAAAAAATAAAATTTAGTGGATATTGCTTCCTTTCTGATAGACAGATATGCTTACAGGTCTATGAAAGTACTTAGTGCATTGTGTTCGAAACATATTCCTGAGTTTTGTGTTTATATATATTTTTGTGTTTATACATACCTTGCTCTCTCTGTTGATCTTTTTGTTCCATGGAAACAAGAGCAGAGAAATGTGCCTGATCATAGGCTAGAACCAGAGGTGAGCAATGGCATCTGTTAGGTAGAACTTCAAGTGGCAAATAAATTCCTCCAAATGGTATAGGTGCAAATGCTGCAATGACAAAATAAGATTACTTTTTTTCTTTTAACTATGAAAAAAGACACTAATGTTGCTTTTACTGTATGTAACAGCTGTGCTACACTGTTTTCAGAGCTCAAGGAGAAGAGCTCTGAAGTGGAGCAATCAATAGGGGAAACAGTCATAACAGCAGGTAAAATTTTGTTATAAAATTATCAGGAAATACACTAAGGGCAATAATGAAAACACTCCACCTTTACATATACTTTCCTTAGCCTGTTTACTAGTAAAGATATAGAAGTATTTTAACAAGATCTTGATGACTGTTACATGTTTAACATATCCGTAAGGACAAAGCTCCAAAAGTATTGCCTCTATTTTTACTAATAATTTTTATTTTTTAATATTATTTATTAAATAATATTTTATTATATTGGCCCACAACGTCAGAGGTGCCTGTTGGTGGGATGGCAGCAGAGGGGCAGTCCGACAAAATAGAATCTGACATGGAAGTGCAGATGAAGCAAAGGTTTAGAATTGAATTCCTCCATGTGGAAGAACTGCACCTACTGACAATTCATTGACACTTACTGAATGTTTCTGGAACCCAAACAGTGGATGTGAGCACAGTGAGACAGAGGGTGGTACATTTCAGCCATGATAATAGCAATGTGAAATATCACCATGTTCTGGAAGGCCATGCACAGGTGTCACACCATGAAATGAAGACCGCCTCAATCAGCTATCAATGCCAATCAGTGGATTATGACCAGGGAACTGTGTATGGAGCTTAATATTGGCTTTAATATTTGGAAATGATGGTGGCAATTTTGGAATATCACAACATTTGTGTCAGGAGTGTCCCATAAATGCTCACTTAGGAACAGACTGAATACCACATGCAGGTTTGTCAGGGATTGTTAGATCAATATTAGGCTGGAAGTGACATTTTCCTCAATCTCATCACTACTGGTAGAGAGACATGGTGTCACCACCGAGCTGGAGTCAAAACTTGCAAACCATGGAGTGCAGGCATAAGAATTTCTCACTGAAAAAAAGTTCAAAACACCCTTCAGTGGGTAAAGTGATATGCACCCTCTTCTGGGACAGGAAAGGGGTGATCCTTCTGCACTTCCAGAAACAACCAACCAACTCTGACTGCTACACTGCAACGGTGACTAAATGAAGGCAACGGTGACTAAATGAAGGCTCTAACTTCCAGTCAGGCCAGAGATGATAGGCTTTCTTTTGCAACACAACAACACCAGGCCTCATAGCAGTTTGAAGACTGTAGAGTACATCGTCAGTCTTGGCTGAACTGTCCTACTGTACCCATCATACAGTCTGGATTTGGCACCTTCTGACTTCCATCTGCTCAGGCCAAGGAAAGATGGACTGCACAGGGAACATTTTACAAGGAACATCATGGCAGCTGTGAATCAGGAGGTCTTCTCCACTGGTGCAGATTTTTATGAGTGTAGCATGCCAGCTCATGTCCATTGCTGGAGAAAATGCATAGCTAATGGTAGTGACTATGTTGGAAAACAGAGTTTTGTAGCTGAGAATTTACTCAATCAAATAGTGTTATCATACTCTTTGTAGCTGGTGCAGCTTCCATGAAAATAAATAGGAGGCATTGGTTTTGGAGTGACTGAGGTAAATAGGGGCATCAATTTCCATTGAAAAACTCTCACCTTCTCCACCAGAGTCTCGTAACATTGTGTCTGCTACTACAACAATAGGTCGTCTTAAAATGTGGGCCAAGACAAACACATGGAACTCTTCTAAGCTCTCATACACTGGATCTTCTGAATTATCAACCCTGGAAGACACAGCATTTAAACTTCAGAAAACCAACCCAGGGCAGCTATTTCCTCTTCCTTGTTACTCATACTCCTACTCTTCTGAAACACACATTCCAGTTACTGAAATAAACCAAGAGAAATTGGAAAGAAAAACATATTTTTGGGAATAAAGTAAAAGCTACAGAAAATGTTTTTACTTGCAGACACCACGCAGGCTTATTAGTCATCAAAATTCATTACTGAGATATTGTCTGGTAGCGTAGCTAGAACTGAAAAGGTAAATCTCAGGCAAACTGCTGGTGGACAACTGCTTCCAATCATAAAAACAGTCATTTCACATGACAACATGGGCAGAGAGATTCTGCAATGGAAAGCTAAAAGTTCTTCTAATTCCTCTAACCATAATATAGAAAGTTACCTTAGCAATATAAAAAACAACATCAGCCTGAGTAGGTGGAATTTAACTTGAAAAGTTGAGCAAAGCATTTTCCTCTGATCATTACCAAAACATTCTTAAGATGGAAAAGAGTATCTGCTGAAATAACCGGAGATTCATTTTGCTATCGGTTTTCCCAGTGAGATAATTTTCACCTTCCTTTAGATTTCCAAAATCAGAATTCTAAGCATTTCATCTTGAATATATATAGATAATTGAAATAGATCAGCACATCTGGAGGTAAGATCATCTCTCCCACTTAAACATTCGCCTGAGGATGAGGTGAAAATTTTCATTTCTTTTTTAGAGAATACAGAAGGAATATAAATCAGTACGTACTGGGGTGAGACATAGTGAACTAGTTTTATCAGGGGAGTTTCATGGTTCAGAAAACACATAGAAAAAAATCTATACAAGAATCCTACATGGTGGGGCAACTGAATGTGATAGTTGAACAATAAAACAGCACTACAGAGAAGTTTTTTTTTTTTCCTGTAAGTTGGCCTTTTAACAGGATCGATCCAATTACCATCTCCTTAATCTAGCTGGAGTAAGTAGAGTAGACAGGTCATATTTCATTTGCAGATTAAAATATATGGTTTATTCAGGAGCATTCCATGGGTCTAAGTAGGATTAACACCCAATCAGCTTCACAGTGAGCAAGTACATTAAAATGATGACAAAAAAGTGCTGTTCTTGGAAGGAATTCTTAAAAACTGACATAAAATGTAACTGGAAGCCAATTAGGGCACTTGAAGAGTTTTCTGCCTTTGTTGTTTTTTTTTTTCTCTTCTCAAATTTTTGATACCACTATGTTTATCAGACATCATGGGACAAAATCTATTAAACTCATCTTCTTTACTCATCAGAAGTATGGAAATGCCTTCCAACATCTATTTCTTCCAGATAAGGGTACTGACAGATAACATTTTACAGTTTGACAATACAATGTTTTGCGTCCAAAATAGTCCCAAACTTTAAAAGGTGGACAAAAAGAATAATTACCTTCTAAAAGAATTTGACAAATGCAAGTACACACAGTATGGTGCAATTAAAAAAAAAGAAAAAGAGATTGAGCTATCTCAATCCTATCCATGATGCTTGAGGCAGTTTCTGCTCTAGTCATCATCTGATGTCTGAAAGGCACAAGCAATGAAAGAAAAGAAAGAGAATAACAGACTGTCTACTAGAAAAGATACCTGGATGTGAAAGGAATATCAGACAAGACTCACAGAATATACAGCAAGATTTGTCATATTTTCCACCAGAAATTACAAAGCAAATCAGTACCTGTGAAATTCATCTACAGTCTAAACATCTATTCTCAACAGTATCACGAGTCAAAAATACAAATTCAACCACACACTTGTATTTAAACCACCATGTATACAGAATCGTAAAGGCTGGAAAGACCTCAATCATCAAGTCCAGCCATCAACCCATCACCACCACACCCAAAAAACATGTCCTTAAATGCCATATCTACACAATGTGGCACTTGAGTCATGACTGCTCCCCCACTGGGATGGGATGCCCTTGGCCACCAAACCCAAACAAAAGAAAAGACAACCAAGTTGGAGAAACATCTACATCAACGAGGAGATAAACTTCATTACACACTGGACCTCAGCTGGCCAACTACAACAGTGTATTTGAGGAACATCATCCCTCAAATAAGTTACTAAACAGTCACTACATACCAAAAACAATCACTGTCTTCATACTGAACCTAACAGGAAGAATTCTATACCACCACCTATGCAGGGGAAAGAGATGAAGTCTTCTCTCATAAGGTTTTAATGCCTGCAACAAACTTGTTTCAGACCAAATTTACTCCAACAAATAGGGAAGCACAATCATATAATACAATTTATCGACTAAGATCCTTAAATTCCTTAAGCTATTTGTTATCTTATTCATCTGAATAGTCTTATTTTCTCTATCTGTAAGAACTTCAAAAAGCCTTTTTCTTCCATATAGTGAAATGCAATTGCTAGGTTTGTTTTAAACATTATTTTATGGAAAAGCTTACAAAACTTTTGACAGCAACAAGAGGGAAACAATGTAGAAGAGCATGTGCTAGTGATTGCTTGCTTGGAGTACATCACTGACTGGTAAACGTATTGGGATAATTCGCTGTCCCAAAAAGGTAACACAGATAAAAGCATTTTTTTCCAATATGTACCATTATGGTTTGGATCAGACCCACAATACTGCATTAACCAAAGGGGATTAAAAATTATATCTCAAGTTCTGCTTTTTATTTCTTACTCTATAAAATCTCAAAACTTTTTTCTCAGGGACAAACAAGCTTGATAAAGCATCCATTAGTCGTAAGAAACATCAGCTAGTATAAAAGATGCACTATTTGCAATACTGAACCTTATTCTATTTGCATCTGTTAACTGCTTCATATACTGAAATATATGAAATAGTGAGAAAGGAACAGCACTCCTGTAACAGACAAACACATAAAATAATACTTGTTTTTAGGCATTACCTTTATTAAAAAAAGATCCAAACTAAATCCTCTGCAAGATGAGGGTCTTTGATGGATGCAGCAGTTTGGATATTTTCTTGAATTACTCTGAGTACCTAACCAAGTCTGAAAACCCAAATTACATATAGCTGAGAGATACTACCTTTGGAACATTCTGGTGTTGCTGCAGTAAATAAAATTCTAATGACACATGGAAAGACTACAGAAACCTTTCCTCTCTTCTTACCCATTTAAAATCACCTGACTTTTTTAACAAGATGCCAACATCATATAAGACAGCGAGCCAGAAGCTGACGTGCATGTCTAAAAATGAGTATCATCCACTTTCAAAGTAAGTATGTTTCAAAATACATTTTGCTTCACGGAAATGAAACAATTATAATAATCTATTTTTAAAAAAAAAACATTTACAGAAGGATGTGCAAATCCACTTCAAAATCAGACTTTGCTTCACAGTTGATTTGAAGTTGATTTGCTTGAAGGATTTTACATGCTGGGAACAAAAAGGCAAGAGCAAGGTTTTTCAGTGTTCCCTTCATCTATTTCTCCAACATTCAAGCCTCAGAAAGAACATATTCTCAGAACAGAAATCTGTGAAAGTTTAGTGACAGTTGCTGGTCACCTTTACACGTACTTCAATCTCAAAAATGTATTAAAATTTGTAGGTGAATGAAGCAGCATCATTCCTAAGCTTGTCACTGAATTCTTTTGAAGCACATACAAATTCTGATGCTTTTGCTAATCCTGACACCAAAGGAGAACGCTTCATCTATAATTCAAAGACTAATCTGCAAGCTCTCTTAATATAGTACCTAAAGTAGAGAATGTAATAAACTCCATCTCAAAAACACTGTTTTGATGTTCCTTTTTCTTTGCAGAGTCTCTGTTATTTTGAACACTGGACGCATTGCATGATTCTTTTAAAGGAAAAATGAACTGCTCCGTATTTATCCTTACTTCTTTCCAATTTGAAAAAGAAATGTGAACCATGGAAAAACAATTTAAATTTGTTCTCTATACAACAGTGTGTGGTATTGCCTTTTGAACTGTCTGGGAAATAAAGGTAAAGTCTGCCAAATGCAACATTTCATGACATCTCTGATTGGAATATAGTGAAACTATAAACTACATGAAGTTTGCAGAATTAAAGACAGAAGCTGGGAAAACTAGTGGTAAATGGCCAAGTTTAAGAGAAACGTGAATTGAACTGCATTAGAAGACTAAAGCATATAAACAGAAAAATATCTACAAATGTGGAAAACAAACTGAGAAGTAAAATGAAAACCAATCAATTAAAAAAAAATTAAAATAGAAGAAACTGAAAACCATTATGGCTGATAATTTGATCATCGTCTTCCTTCTGCATTAGATTTCCCTATTCCTGGTATCACAAATTTAAAAGGAAAATGCAATATAATTTCAAATACAGTTTGAATTGTACATAAAGAATATATTGTATGTAAAAAATATTTTTTTGAACATTTTATTTCTTCATTATGTTTTATGCTTTGCCAACTTACTTTTCACATACAGTTTTCTTTGGGGGAATCAGTAGCTAGAGGAAAAAACGAACTGAGTACACAAACCTAAATATTCTTCATTACAAAAACTAGACTGAAAAACAAAAGCTCTTGCATTAAGGCTGGTTGATAGTCTTATACTTTGGAACAAAAGCACTGCAAGATACGCATACTCTGCACTCACCCACCACCAGTGCCTCCATTTTTGCTGAAATGTGTGCGAGGCTCACTGGATGCCAGCTTAAGCAGTTCATTCCACTCCCGCTCCCATTCTTCTTCTGTATACACTAAACCTGACTATGGGAGAGAATTAAACACATTTGTAGTTATGCTGGTAAAAAAATTTGAGCAGCGCTCTGTAGCAGTATATGCAATTAACTTTTGAGCTTCTTACATGATACATTAATAGTTCAACATTCTTATTCAGATGAAAAGAATATTAATTTACTAGGAAGATCTAAGACACTAACTGTAAGAACTAACCGTGCATAGTTATGCCCACAAAGCTACGAATACATTTCATTCTGAGGTTCAAATTCTGAATACAAATCTCTCTCCCCAGTGCAGAATGGAAGAAGAAGGAATCTGATAGCAAATGAAACTTTCATAAAGTTCAGAATTGTTCTTTTTATGCTGACAAGGTTGCCTTTAGACCATACAGACCTCCTTATTCTGCTGGGTCTGTTGCCATCTCCACCTTCTTTTCAGTGCTTCCCTTTCAGCTCCACTTCTCATCATAGTGTAGAGTGCTTTCCGTAGAACAAGATCCCGGTCATGAAATCCCCACATTCCTACAGTATCACAAGAAGGCACTCAATTTTAAAGAAACTACATTAAAACAGATATAACAAGTACTAATATAATTAATATTGTCCTATGAGCAAAAGCAACATAGCTTATACATTATTTAAGACTTTTCTTGGCAAGAAATCTACTCATTATTTCTAATGTTTCCTTCCAAAAGGGTCAATATACAGATAAAGCAGTGAACAATAAAAGGGAATTTTAACAAAGCTTAAACTTTGCCCAAAGAACAACAAGGATGTGAGCTGTTTCAGTATGTGCTTGCAGGTAACAAACTGTGCTGCAAGCAATGGAATATTCAGCACACAGGTTACTTCTAGTTACTAGTTCCAGCTGCCAGCAGAGCTTGCAGACACAAGAATACTAATGACACCTGCAGGCTCTTCTGTGCATCACAGATGATGATTCTGACGCCCACAGGCGTCCACTCTTACACAGCATGATGGCCAATTTCTTTTGGCTTCAACATCCAAACAAAAAGCATTCAAGATGATTGGAAGTCTAAAAATACAACCAGCCATAGGCTTGCAAGCTCCTTTTAAGACAGTTCACAGATCTTCGGACAGTCAAGCAGTAACCATGACAAAAGAACAGAACACTCATTGAGACACATGCCCACAGACATCCAAGTTTCAGTTATATTATCAGCTGCTGGCATTAAATATGTATATTTCAAATTTTGCAAGTCAAAATACTTCCAGCATTTTTTGTAAATAATATACACTTCCTCTAAGCAAAAAAATAGAGTAGGCAAAGATAAAAAGGATCCTTGGAAAAAATCATACATATATGTATCTTTTTACTATTATTTTCAAAAAGAACAGTCCCTTCAAAATGATTAAAAATCCTAATGTTTTTCACAAAATTGCTTTTGGGAGGTCTGCTGGTACAAGATTTTAGCGATGGGAACAACAGAAGAACCTTCCTCATGATAGTTATGATACGGAGCAAACATCAAAGACTTTTGGATTCACAGGTTTCTATTTATTTGATATACTTTGAAAAAAGGCTTCACAGATCTTGTATTAATGATTAATTAACTGGAAACTACTTTTCACAGAATCATGGAATGCTTTGAATTGGAAGGGATCTTTAAAGGTCACCCAATCCAACTCCCCTGCAGTGAACAGTGTCATCTGCAGCTAGATCAAGTGCTCAGAGCCCCATGCAGCCTGACCCTGAATGTCATACCTCATCTCTCTGGGCAACCTGTGCCAGTATGTCATAACCCATACAGTGAAAAACTTCTTGCTCAGACCCAGTCTGAATCTTCTCTCTTTCAGTTTGAAACCATTTCTATTTGTCCTGTGACAACAGATACCACGAAAGAGTCTGTTCCCTCTCCTTTTCAAAGGGGGCTTCAGGCATTGAAATGCCATTCTCAGCTCCCCCCGAAGCTTTCCCTTCTCAAGGCTGAGTAGCCACAATTTGTCCAATTTTTAATTCACTCCAAAGTCTGTTTTCCATATAGTTGAAATCTTGAAGGAATGAGTAGAACTGTTTAACACAAGCCAGAGGACAACAAACGCAACTCCTTGCCCACAGAGAGGACAATCCCCCATATGTAAGGAAAATGCACACTGCTGTTTATGGAAAGGGTTTTTTGATATTGTTCCAATTATACTTGTGATATCACCTCACAAAATTTACACCTTCATCCCTCAAGAATGCCTACAACAATCAATTCTCTAAGTGAAGTTTGAAGAATGTTCTCCAGAACCAGACTTTTAATGGAATTCTTTGCATTCCATTTGTTTCTGAGCTTTCACTAGGCACAGAGCAAACTCGTAAATATTTCTGGCAGAAGACTCCATGCACACATTCTTCCTTACCTAAAGAGGCAGCATGCAGGAGGCAGTTTCCATCACCTGTTGTGGCCAAGGGAAGAAGACGTTTGCAGCTTGTACACACTGTGGACCACCAGTTCAAACGACCTGAAAAGAAAGCATCCATTAAAATGACATAATGGGTACTAAAGGAAGGTGAGTACTGTGTAGAGTCACACAGTGATGATATGTAATGTTGAAGGCTATTTGAAACTGTCAGATTTAAATTAGAAAAAGAACCAACAATGTTACAATGATACCTTAAAAGGCAGTTTGCTGACATGTGCTTAGTTTCCTTAAGGAAAGAAGGCTAAAAAGAGCCTCTCTTTCACTTCTCCAGTAGACTGTACTTCCAGAAAACTGCCCATCTACAAAACTACTCGCATACACTGATGTTCTTGAAATGTAATACTGAGCTGTGCATGTAGAAATAACTGTAGAAGTAAAACTGACCAAGTAAATGCTTCTTTTTGGGCTGATGCACCAGCAATACTGAGGTTACCAACCAGAATGCAAATCCAAAGTCATAAACTGAGATGGCACAGAAGTGTACAACTACGTATAACTGGCTACACATACCCAGCAGAGAGCTCCTGCTCAGTTTACCAGCTTATTTCATAATCAGAGATGTGTTTTTCCACAACATTACTGCATTCCATTTTAGTGTGAGAAAATACTTGCTGTTCATACTAGAACCAAATTACATAAACGTATTCCAGAGAGGAAATGTAATCCAGAAAAGAGGAAATGAGTATCATTTTCTTGTAATTCTGATGGTTGTGACTCCAGCACCTGACATATACTTGAAAGTCTGTTAAAAAATCTTAGCTAGGAAAACGCTCCTATTGTCTCAAATGCATTTATTTATATTTCTTTTAAATCAAAGCTTAATTTTTAACAGTCTGAAATCAAACGTTTTCATAACTTTAGGGATTTGTTTTCAGGAGTGTGAAACACAGGCAAAATATGCAGCTGCATTATATGCTTCATAAAAATTAGTTTTCAGGTTCAGGTTTAGTTGTTATACTGAGTAATGTTTAAGGAAAGCAATAAAAAAAACCCACTGTGTTTAGAGCACTTTTTGTAGCTGTTCTGCTGCCCACATGATGTATTTGAGAGCCCATCAGCACAGCAGTTTGGGTGCTGCCAGTATCTCCCCTGCAGCCAAGCAGCTTCTCTGTGAGGCTACACCTTAACTGCACACAGCACAAGTATGGTAACAGAAATCAACCTGCTGCAGTAAAATGCTTAGAATTATGTAATTCCTTTCACCCAGATCCCATTTAAGATTATCACAACCTGAGCCATCCTCCCTTGCAGAACTACACTGATTGCTGCAAGAGCCCTCAGTCTGCACATACCCTGCACACTGACCTCATTCCAGGCAATAATGAGCAGCTGGGGTTACGAGATGCACAAAAGCCTCAAATGCTTTTATGAGTATATAAATTGTACACATTGATGAACTCTAAATGTCTAGGAGAAATTCAGAAGGCAATCACACAAATAGTAACAGACACACTGCAGTAGCAGAGAGAGACCAAGGAATGCTGTCTTCTGTTTATGATCTGACAGCATTTTTGAGTGAAACAGGAGTTTCTCTACAGGTAGGAAGCAAACTGAACATCCTTTCACATAAAGATATAATGGTAGCAAGTGCTTAAGTATGTAGAAACAGAATTTAAATCCTTTTAAAGACATCCATCTCATTTGGGGATGTCAAACAAAATGTGCTACAGGCTTTTTTTTTTTTTAGCATTTTTGCACCCCCAATCTATGGTGTTCTTGGTTTTTTTTTAGCAGTAATCTGCTGCTCCTTCTCTTGCCTAATCAGCTTTTTTTTTTTTCCTCCTCCTATTGAAATTTATGCCCTTAAACCAGAACTCAAGCACACACATCTCTCCTCCCTTAACAGTATCTCAGCTACTGAAATGACAGTCTTCCTCTTTTTCTTGTTAAAATAAGATCACAGTCGTTTGCAGGGAATACATCTTATCCACCAATGTTTTGATGTCACTGACCAAAGTGTAGTCAAACTGGGCCCTCTGTTGGTCAGAGACAATAAAACGTGTGATGCTAAGTGACACCTATTAATTCATGCTTCTCATTTCAGACAACACGTGTACAATGGCAGGCAATACAGGGAAACTGAGCATTTGTGGTCAGACAACAGGTCACTTTATATGACAACACTTGACATGAAAACACAGGTGTGCTTTGTTTTTTGTTTTGAGTTTTTTTGTTTGTTTTTTTAAATTAAGCATCTGCTGTTTGATCTGTTAAACTCATTTCAACTGAAGAATTCTTTCTCCAGAAAGTTTTAGAGTCATGACAGCCTCCTCTTCAGATACCAGGGGCTCCAGGCACAAAGAAACCTTCACAAAGCAAGTAGTAATGGGGGGATCAGCAGTCTTCACTAAGAGAAGTGCCAGGAACAAAACAGTTACTGGTTGTTTCCACTGCCGTAATATTTTATTAAAAAGCAAATTAGCTTTCCTAGTGTGAGTCAAGGTATTGCCCTGATTCAAGTAACATGAAGAAATGAATAAATGATTAATTCTAACTGTCAGAGAGGTCTGAAAGGAATACTCAGAAGCAGGAAATTCTAAGCAGGTTTCCATGGTATAATCCTGTAAGCATGTCTTTTTGCCACTTGCAATGATTTTGGACACACGTGAATGAGAGATAGGACTGCTGCTCTCTACCTCCTTACTCATCTTTTCTGCATTAAATGACTGAGCTGCTTACGAAGCAAATCCTGGACTGCATTTTAGAGTCTAAGGTTTTGAGGCAAACCAGCACTGACTGCTGGCTCCAGACCAGCACCCTAATTCTACGTTTTCTATCTCCTTTTGTTCTTATTAGTAAAGCCCGTTCTTCCATTTCCTAGCATGCAAGCTACATCCTCGCTGGTATCTCAGTCCTACCACACCCTTCCATATGAGATTTATTTTTTGGACCAATACATCTGTCCCTGTATCTTCCACTCCCTGAAGTACACCATGCACATCCACTCTCTGATCTGTGGTTTCTCTGCAAGTTTCACTCTTCCAGGCTTAGGCTTATTTAAACACACAACCTTTTAAGTCAATATCTCAGTACACTGAGCCCATACAGATGGGTTCATTTCATGGTTCATTAATAAACTTTCTGTTTCATCAGGTAAAGATAATAATTTCAAATATGTTTCTCCATATCCATCCAAATTAAAACTTTAACTTAAAATGTTAAACTACTAATAAATATGAATTAATATAAAAAATAACTTTTCATGTTAGTAATGAACTATTACTTTCACAATCTTCAGTTTCTTATTACAAAAACAATAATCAGTGTACAAGTTGCATATTTAAAAAATATTCTCAAGCTGCAACAGATCTTGAAGAGGTTTCCTTTGTTAGTTTGCATTTGTTAACTGCAATGACACTTCCTCACAAGCATTAGAAGCACCATGACTGGTGGACTCCTCCATCAGTCTTCCATTCCTTCCTTCTGCATTATCTTTGAATTATTAGACAAATTTGACAGTATATGAAGTTTTAAGAGAGGATGAGGGCATGCATCATTCTGCAAAGCACAGTATTTCCTCTGGCATTTTTTTTTCCTGTGCAAGACACCCAAATTCCAAAAATGAAGCATCATTAAAAACAGCAGAATATCAGATAACCCAACCACTGCCATGTGAAGTCCATACCCACCTGCTTGCTCCAAAGCAACCATTGTTGCCTGCTCAATTAAGTCACGTTCAATGAAGCTTCTGAAATCTTCGCTGTACACACTAAGGTCTGGTAGCTGGAATGTGTAGATGGGCATCTCCAAAGGAAATTGTTCATTGCTGCATTCATTTGCTACATGTGATCGAGCAAGAGAGACTATGGCTGAGCTGGCATGAGAAATGCCTCTGGAAAGCCGCTTTTCTGTAGAGAAGCCAAAGAGATTATAGACTGTAAGAATATACTGAAAAGCATCCAACATCGACAGTCTGGTGAGAGTCTTTTCACTTTGGAATGCATTCTGCTTCTTTAATATTTTTGGGGGTTTATTTCTCCATACTGAATGATTGCTTAGTTCTCATTATGGATTCCCTATGGCAAATTATAGATGAACTGCACTCTCCTTCTTTCAAAACAGATTAATAGTAAAGAAATGGCATGAAAGAAAAGCGTTTTATTTTCAAGAAGTTCAAAAGTTATTCTTATGTTTCTAGAGATGCATTACAAGAAACAATTACTGGTGGACTTACAATGATCAATTATTGCTTTGAACTCTTAAATTAGGTTGACTTGTGAATCAAAAGATACAGTATTCTGCAATCACTCCATATCAAATGCCATACTGTTTAATTTCAGAGCAATCCACCTGGACACACTTTTATCATCACTGTGATGAAAGTCAGACAAACTCAGTTTTTAGGCACGAGCATTTTTTAAAATCCTGATCCAAGGATCAATCCACAGTTCAAAACAAGCCATGACAATAGCAAGTCTGGTATAGAAGTATGTATTGTTTAAACTAAAATGATAGATTTCACTTCTCTGTTGACAAATGCCATAAACAAAACAGTTAATAATGGACTGACAAAGCAAAATAAGCATTAGAATCTTAAGAACAGAACAAATTACTACCATGTCATTTTACTTCTCTGTACATGTCCTCAGTATCAGCAAACAGGTAAGAGAAAAATTAATCACTAATACCCTGCAAGTGTTAAAAACCATAAATTATTCAGTTCAAACTGATATATTTTTGAACTTAGAATACAGGAAAGTTACAAAAATTGAGAAAAACTGTGCATACCAGGAGTTCAGTAATACCAACAGGGTTAGATCTGTTGATGTTGATAAAATGTTACAGGTAACAATTCTAAAGGGAACTGAAACAGTTATATCTCTGAAAGCAACTTCATTTTCCAAACAAAGACCAACTGTAATACACCTCTTGTTCTCGTCTGACATAACTGAAACTGCCTACATCAGTTTCAGAGCTTTAGTAAGCAATAGCTCTCTGATCGTGAAGAGGTCAGGAAGGATTTCAGTTACCCATGCAACATAACTTTTAACCAGACTTATGCCACAGAACCCACTGCAGAGACAAAACCATCAGACAGACATTTCAGTGTAAACTTGGTAGTATACTAACATGGATTTTTACAGTGAGTTGGATCCTAATAAGGATGAAAGCAACAGTTTTACCAACTACAGTGTGCTACTCTTCCTCCCTTTATCTGTATTTCATGCTCTCAGGAGTCATAAGAAGCAATGCAGCTCCTTTTCTACTGGTGGAAGCTATCCATTTAAAATAGAGCTTCACTGATACTTGTGAGCAGTGATGATGTTTCCCGTCTGATAGAAGGGATGAGCTGGCAGGAAAAGGGAAGGCTTTCTGTTCCAACTGCATAGAAAGCTCTGCTAAAATCACCACGCTACTGCTGTTGCTTTCCTACTTGAGAAGCTGTCAGAGCTGTAGATTAATCTTAGTGCTAACTACAGTTCCTTGATAATTAATACGAAAAAGAAATGCATTTCAACAATCCAAGCAAGAGAGTGAAAACTTGAAACAGAATTGCAAGCAAAAAATGTAAATCCTAATGCTTGTGATGCTGTACTGCAAATCTGCTGCCTGAGGTACATGACTCATTTTAGTTCTGAAGGTTTCAATTTCTATTTTGCGGGACTTGAGAAGGGATGCTCTTTCTTCAGGGGAGCCATAAGGGATCAAAAATTAAAAAGCTGAAATTTATTCATAGATTTCATACATCCTAATCAAATACTACGAAAAAGAATGCAAAGGCAGAAATATGGATTATTTATTAAAAAACGGCTTTTTTGTGTCTCATGTAGTATAAAAGTACTACATGAAGCACTACATACAGTAGTGGTCTCTGACACCCTCTAATTCCCTTTTGTACCACAGGACTGCCTAGCAATAGTGTATTTCCGTACTTGAATTGCTCATTGACAACAAACAAACAACTTGTAGAGCTGAGGCAAAGCCTGTGACAGCTGAAAAATGCAATGCATAGCATCTCTGCAAAGACTGTCACAGTGACGTGGATCACAGGCTGGCTGCCAGTGATTTCAACCTCCCTGCAGACACACAAAACTCACAAGCAGACCATCTAGAAAGCTGCTCCCCAGAAGCCCCAGAGAAGAGCTCTTACCTTGAGCGATGTCATCTTGCCGCTGCAGGCAGGGCCGCTCGGCCTTTGTCACCTGAGGAGGCTGCTCGGGCTCGGGCTGCTTGCAGTACTTGCCCTCGTTGAACACCTGCGGCAGGTTGGCGGTGTGCACCTGCCGGAGCTGCTCATAGTCACTTAAAGCTGCTGTCAAGTCCCAGTTTTTGCCTGCCAAACAAAAAAAAAACAAAAAAAAAAAAGGACATCTGCTCAGGACAGTCTGAGAGCAGACTGGGGGCCTGGAAACCATCCCCTGTGCATTTAGAACAAACTTAAACAGAGAAATCATTTTCACTTAGAGCATCAGCTTTTGGAAAAAACATTTACAACTGCTCCTTCCTGAACAAAAATGCACAGCTGATAAACACCTTGAAAGTGCACAGCAAACAGACATGGATACAACTCTTTTCTCTCTTCCGTGTGTTCTTGGTTTGTTTTCTATTATTTGTATCTGTAGAACACACGGCCTTCTGCACCCATCCACTGCTGCACATTTGCTTGAATTTATTGCAATGTTTCAGCACTCCCCTTTTCAGGAGGTGAAATGTCCTCATGCTGCTCTCCAGTACGCCAACCACAGTAAGACACACTGTCCCTCAGTTGGGTTCCATCACCTCACATTGTCCCTCTCTAGCCGACAGAAGAGACCTCTCAGTGGAAGAGACCTCAACATGAGTAATCCTCGCTTGCTCAGAGTTGAACACGCGCTTTGTCAGATCACGTCTCACACTCCTTAACAACAAAACTCAGTCACACCTTAGGCAGCCCACACTGGCTGTACTGTTACTAGATTCTCTATTTTTCAGGCTGATAACACTCATAACACTTATGCAGCAAGACCTGAGCAACATGCTGTTTATTTAAGATTTAGTGGGTTCTTTTATGTCTCTGTTTTTGCTAAAACAGCATAGATCAGCAGCACTGCAACAGTTAACAAACTCATTTTCTTTCAATTGTTAACAATAGACATCATACAATTAGGGGACATTCATCATTAATCAGCAGGAATAGCAAGCATGCAATTACAAAGCCACACTCACAACCTTCACAAATCCACCTACTCCAATATGTTAAAAAGAACATTTAAAAGGTCACCAGCAATTCCTGATTTAGTGATAAACAGCATGCCAGAAAGGATGCAACCTTAGACAGAGAACTAAGAGAGCTCTAAGTAGTGAGGACCACAGCAAAGGTCAGTGTGCAACAATACACATATACAGTACTTCAGCAAAGGGTATTTTAAGGACAGGAACTGCAGCTTGAAGTTGAACAGGACCAAAAACATGGAGGGAAAAAAAATGATGCAAAAGGGGAAGAGAGAGGTTAGAGAGGACAACGATGCTGAACAGGAAACTAAGTTAAGAGGAAGAGAGGACATAATTATTCAAAATGACAAATACAATGGGAAAATAAGTATTTTGGCAAAATGACAGTATAACTAAAATGAACACATCTTTCAGAATTTTTAACTATTCTAATAGAAGGCAATATTTGCCCAGCTACTTTACTTTCAATGTCATTTTTTCATTCTTAATGAAAATAGCATGCAAATGCAATACCTTTCCGAAAACAAAGACTACTGAAGAAGCAGTGTAACAGTATAAATCTGAATGCTTTTGCCAGCATGTCTTACATATTTTACTATCACTGCACGTACATTTTACAAGTCACAGAAAACAAATCACAATCAAGTGTTGCTAAAGATAATGCAAAGCTTTTGCAGAACTAAACCTACATCAAAAATTCAAAAAACTGAAAATTATAATAATAATAACTATAATAATTAACCAAATAAACAAAGTCTCCCTGTCTGCAGGACAGAAGTCTTGCTGGCAAACAAATCCTACATTTTCACTCCTTCAAAAACTAGTGTAGAGTCACTGCCTTGTGACTCAAATATTCCATACTGCCGTATACAAAGGTGTTCTTAGAATAGCAGCTGTGCCACAAATACGAAGTAGCAGCTGTTAGGTGGAAGGAACATCATCTCCTCATTTAGCCCATTACACTGACCCTGCATTTTACACAAGACTGCACAGTGGCTCGGTAACAAAGCAGTTAAACAGCAACAGAGTTTTCAGCAAGAATGCTCAGTTCAGGCAGCCCTTTCCCTGTGGGGATGAAATCTACCTACAAGGACGTACAGCCGCAGAAATTTACGAAGCACCAGACACAAATCTGGTATTTGGCAGGGTGTATAACTTATTTCTAAAAACAAAGTCCAGGACTCTTACTCCATCTATGCTCCGAGCCATCTTTCAGCTTAGATTTTGAGCCATCGTGCACAGCAGAAAGTAAAACAGCTTTGATCTCTACACTACTGCCTTCCTTCCAAGAAGGCAGAAAAGAGTTCTTAGCTGAAAATGTTGGCTGCAAGGCTGAGAGGAAAAATGAGAAAGTCCTACCATCAGGTGCTCCTTATAAACAAAGACATAGCCCAAGATCTATCAATTTAAAGCTCTTATAGAAAGAGAATCATATCTGTTCCTGGAGTTACATCAATACCCCATTTCACAAGAGAACGCAGTAAGGCCTGAAGCCTGTGAACTGACTGAGCTCCCTAAAACAGAGGAAACCCTTTAAAATTCTTCTTTTTCCTATCAGCCTCAATTAGTTATGTCCAGATTTGATGTTAATTTATGTGTTCCTGATGCATAAGGGAAGTGGAAAGCGTTCACCTTTGGCACAATGGAAATTAAAAGCTGAATGTGGCTGGTGCATTTTGTGACAGACCAGACTCCTTCTGGAACACATGTAGGCCTCCGTGTTTTGTGTGATGCTGCTGGCTGACAGGCTCATAATAGCCAATAATTATATGAGATCATCATAATTATGTAAGATCATCAATCTCATTTAGAGATTTAGGACCAGAAGTGAAGATTATTAACAAACAACACCGTTCAATCGTTCCAGTATCTTGATGAAAGCTACTCAGGAGCCCTTATGTACGCGTTTCAGCTGAACCATGACAACCTCAACTCTTTAATGGAACATGTGTCTAGCTGTATGTGCTGGCGAAGTTACAAGAACTATTCTGAACTCAGCAAGTTCTGGCCTTTTATCCTCACTATTTCATAGACTTTTTTTCACAGGACTCTCTCCAAATGTTTAGAATTTGGACTGCAGGAACAATTCAGAATTATAAGCTATGTAAAAACAAATACGATGAGAAAAAGCTAAGGAACACCCCTTCCAACTGCAAAAACTCTTTTACCTCTTCAGTTACTTCTCTTTCACTGGATACCATCTCCTCTATTTATTAAAACTAAGAGATAAAAGATGAATAATACAGAAAGGCATCTGGAGAAATAGAAAACAGCCTCTGATTTTCCAGACAATTAACAGATTCTTAGTTCTTATCAACATAGAGTGACCAGTGAACAATTAACAGAACAGATTAATTTAAAAAAAAAAACAAAACAAAAAAACCTTCCCTCAACCAGATAATCATTTAAGATAGAAAGTTTACCATTATCTTCTTTTCCACCTGAGGATGTCCATTCTGCTAATAGAACAACGCACAAGTTGACTTTAAATGAAATCAACTCTTCCTATTTGGCACAATGCAGATTAACATGGATAATGACAGGCAAAGGAAAGGAATTCCAGATCAGCTTCACTCTTTCTGAAAAACTTGGGTGTAAAACCAGGCTAGTATTACACCACATGTTTTAAAATGAGTTTAATTTTTGTTCAAACTCTCAAATAATAGCATAGCAAGGACACAATTTTTTCCCATTTCCTGCTTGATTGCAAAGTCTCTCAAGATGAACAGACAGCTGGAAATGACAATTTTGATCTCTGTGGAATAAGACATTGATAGCTACTCAGTTTCTTCTTCCTTTGCCAAGTCTTCCACAAGAGAACTATAAAAGGAACTGCCTGAGGGAAAGAATAAGAAGCTATTTTGGGAGAGATGGTTTTGTACAATCATATGACAACACTGTAAATTTCCCCACCAATTATGTTGTGGTGGTTTGGGTTTTTTTTGTTGTTGTTGTTGTTGTTGTTTCTTTTAATTCTGCTGTTCTCAGAAGGAAACATCTTTCTACTGCCTCTCTTAACCTCCATGGGTCAGTCTCCTTGAACACACACATTCCATGACTCAGCCAATCTCCTGATTCTTACTAATGCTGAACTACACACACCTCAATTAAGTTCCACACAAAGCTGGAAATAGGTATCAATTATTTCTATGTAATGGTTAAATATGACACAAATAAACAGTCAAGCAGAAAAAGCAAAGCAAAGATACTGTTGTTTATGCAAATAAAGGCTGAACACAGTCATATAAACGAACGAAACCACTTACATAAGTGCATACAGGTTCTCACTTAAATATATATTATTGCTGCAGTTTAATTTCTTCTTTCCGTTATTATTACATACACAGAATTTCACAGATCTCCTTCACCTGATGTTGTCTATAGTACTGGCATTTCAATACATCTCATCCTGTCTAATCCCTTATCCTCCTTACTAATCACGTGATCACTGCCTGCATACCTCCTGCTGTCTGAAAACTAACCTGTTACCTGATCTCTTAGCAACCTCCACGCTTACCCATGCCTATACAGAAAGTCTGTGACTACAGAAGGACATCATTAGAGCTTTAGACCAGACAGCCATAACAATGCTTTAACTTACTCTTCTTTTCATAAAGGCAAGCGCGTGCTCCTGGTTAGCTATTAAAATCAATATTGAACACAATTATTCTCAAAACAAAGCTACTGCTACCGTTTAAGTAGAATCAGTTTTACCGCTGTAAAAGTGTATGAAGAGCGTATTTTGAATGAGATTTAAAGCTCAGTATATATTTTCAGCAATTAAACACTAACCACTGAAAAATACAATGGAGGAAAGGAAAGTCTGTACCAAAACCAGGCACCTGAAATAGTGGTACTGACCTGTAGGAAGCAGCAACAGATCTTCCAAGTAAGGAAGACTGAGTAGAAACATGTAACTCACAGATGCCACAACATTACACATTAGGAGGATTCAATAGAATACAATGCTTTTCTGGTTTTCTAATTTTCAAAAATAAGGCTAATATAATGAAAATACAATTGGTTTTATGTTTCAATTTAATGAAAAAACTCTTTTTATAGTAATATAGAACAAACTGTCCCTGTCTATTCCAAACTGGGTCAAATTTAAATAGTATTTGCTTGTCCTTCAGCCATCCAGTTTTGGTAATTAGTAATATCCTCATGAAAGACAGGATAGTAATACCAGCAAGCCTAAATTTAAAATTAGAAAAAATATATTTTGGAAGAAGACACAATGGAAAAGAACTGGCGAAAGAAACAACAATACGGACTTGGTCCCCAAGATGCATTGAGGGATTTGAATGCTATTTTATGAAGTGATTTTAAACTTGAAAAAGATGTAAATGTTCACTCTGTGCTTTAGTGTACAGTCAGTCCAAAAGAAAGCCTCTGTCTCAAGGAATTTCGTGAAAGGCTGTTCGCGTGACATTTACAGTACTGGAAAAGCTATTGCTTTCAGATAAGTTCACTGAATAAACTTTTGTGTGTTTGCATTCCACATACACACGCGTGTTCGAGGTCTTCATAATCACACAAGAGCAAAGAACTCAGGTCCGTATGAGATATTTTTTGATATGAAATGATCTGCTTCAAGCACAACCGATGCTTAAACCATCACAATGTATAGCATCAGATCCAGTTTCCAGGTCTCCAGAGTCAAATGCTGCTCAGAAAGCCAAGCAACTGCCACAGCCATTCTACCTACTCTGTAATTTGCTGACAGATGTTGCGCTCACACTCTCCTCAACCTGTGGGTTTTTTTTTTGTTTGTTTGTTTGCTTTTTTTTTTTTACTATCTGGTACAGACAGTAAATAGTTTCTGGTGTCCCTTACTTCCACAGGGACATATTCCTTGTTCTTTGCTCGCCTCCTAATTATTAAGCATCAGGATTTATGATGTCTTGGAGATGCCATGATTCTGAAGACACCTATTTGATGTTCAGGCTCTCAGAAGTTAATTCTCATTGGATGTTTACTTCAAAGTCTCTGCAAGACCAGAGAAGGTGTAAAGTGCTGTCAACCAAGAAGCCTCCCTGGAGGCTTGACCAACAAGAAGGAGCATTGAAAAGTCTTGTAGTCATGACCAAGCTAACAGAAATGTGCTTCCCATTTTAATAATTCACCCATAATAGCAACTATGAATTTTAGTACTGTAAGTAAAAAGCTGTTCTCTTAATTAAAAAGAATGATACAAATAGCCTAAGTGGTCCACAGCAGCATTCAGGCAACGAATGCCAGAAGTGCTGTGGAAGAAAAAGCCCTTCAACAAAAAACATATAGGAAGGTACCAAGAGGAACAAAGCAATCAAACAAGCATGAATTGTTCTATGCACTAGACACTGCCAGCAACTATTACATTCGACAAGTACTGCAGTTCCTGATGGAATACAGGTTCTGATGTGGAGACAGATCACCTGCAGAATTCAGCCCAGAAATAGCTCACTCAGCTACTGCTCAGGCATGATGGCACACAGTGAGCAGAAAAAAATATTGATACTGCTACAAAGAAGGGGAAAATTAAGGGAGGAATTAAGAAGTCCCCCACCAATCCTCATCTTAAAGACAAAACAGGATTAATCAAAACTCTGTGCGTCAATGACATAAAGGTGTATGCTACCCAGGCACTGAAAACAGATATTTTCCCAGAGCCATGCTGGAAAATAATCTTATTTTTTCAATTCTAATATACAGTCAAATGAAAAACAAAAAAATCAGTGAATTGGTCATGACACATGGCTCTATGACTTATCAGACTGTAATCTCAAGTTTTAAAAGCTTTCTTCAGAAGGAAAGCTGTGCTGCTTATAAATCTACCAATATATGAGAATAAACTGTAATGGAAAAAAGGATCTTTAAAACGTCCAAAAACTCAAGAAACCCTAAAAAGCAAGACAGATGACATATTATAGTGTACTTGCATGTGTTGTTAAGTGTTAAGCCCCTTCCGCCTCCACATCTTTCCTTGACTATTCTTTAAGTCTGTACATTTTTAAGTTCCCACAGCTTTACCACGTGAATACAAAACAGCAAGCAGCCCAGAACTGGCCGTTCAGACTAAGTGAGTAGAAATGAAACATTATTCATTGGAAAAATATCAACTAAGCAATTATTACTGCAATTTTAACCACCAATGAATAGCTGATTAGACAGCTGTGGGACTTTCACAAACGTATTTAAAAGACACTGTAGTACCATGAAATTGATTTTAATTTCTTATGTAGAACTAAGAAAACCAAAGCCAATTTTTTACTTTGATGCAGCTTTTAAAGTCTGCATTTACATCTATTTTCAGATGTGCATAGCAAAATTCTCAAAGAACAAATGCTTTTGAGTCTGTGAAATGTGAGCTCCTTATCAGTTAAACAACTACACAGAATATTAGAATTTGTTATCTTGAAATGTCAGAGCAAGCATGTATTGACCACAAGCTCCTTGTACTATACTAAAGCATAGCCAAAGATACAAGCAACAGCATAAATAACGTGACTGCCAAAAGGCAAACTTTGTTCTGTATGTAACACTAGAAAGGTATATACTCACATAACCAAAGGAATTCTTTATACATTCTTTTGAATGATACAGAAAATTAAAAAATCGAGGCTTCCAGCTCTGCATGTTTCACTTACCAAAAACTTATCAGACCGGACTACTTTTAGACTACAAACTGGACTACTTTTTATTCCATGATACTAATAGCTGTCAAGAAGAGCCAAACATACACAAGCTAGAATCAATTCAGGATTTTTTTATTTTTATGTTTAAAAAACAAACAAACTGAAGGAACTAGTCACGTCACCAGCAGTGGGTCTAATCTTGCTCAACTTCAGTGACCTGGATGAAGGGATAAAGTCCACCCTCAGCAAGTTTGCTGATGATACTAAGCTGGGAGGAGTGGCTGACGCACCAGAAGGTTGTGCTACCATTCAACAAGACCTGGGACAGACTGGAGAGCTGGGCAGGGAGGAACCAGATGAGGTTTAAGAAAACCAAGTGTAGAGTCTTGCACCTGGGGGTGCATGTATCAGTACAGGTTAGGGAATGACCTGCTGAAGAGGAGTTCTGTGGAAAAGGACCTGGGTGTTCTGGTGGACGAAAACAGGTTGGCCATGAACCAGCTGTGTGCCCTGGTGACCAAGAAGGCCAATGGGATTCTGGGGTGCATTAAAAAGAGCGTGGCCAGCAGGTCAAGGGAGGCGATCCTCCCCTTCTACTCTGCCTGATGAGGCCGTATTTAGAATACTGTGTCCAGTTCTGGGCTCTCCAAACAGACAGAAATCTCCTAGAAGGAGTCCAGCAGAGGGCCCTTTATCATCTCCCATATGAGGAAAAGCTGAGTAACCTGGGTCTGTTCAGCCTGAGGAAAAGAAGGCTGAGGGAGGGAGATCTGATTAATGTTTGTAAATATCTGAAGAGAGGTGGGAGGCAAACGGAAAGGCCAGGTTCTTCTCAGTGATACACAGCATAGGACAAGAAGTAATGGCCTAAAGCTAGAATGTAGAAGTTCCATACAAACATGCAGAAGAATCTTTACAGTGTGATGGAGCACTGGAATAGGTTGTCTAGAGAGGTTACAGAGCCTCCTTCTACGGAGATATTCAAGACTCATCTGACTGCCTACCTGTGCAACCTATTGTGGAGAACCTACTTTGGTAGGGAGGTTGGACTCAACCTACTGAAGACCCTTTCAACCCCTGCAATTTTGTTATTCTGTGTGGAACCACTGAATGAGAACACCTTTTTCATCTCTGCCTTCATTCCAAATCAAGAATGGACACTTCCTGGAATTTGTGTCAGACACAGTAAGCAGCACGCTTTGGTCAGACAAGTAATTGTACTCAATACAAAGCTCAAAAGAAAAAAAAAACTGCAGGGATTTACTAATTGTCTACTACATAGAGAGATGCAGGTGATTTTCACCAAAAGTCAAAGAAAGGAGATGCTTTCAAAATCAAAGATGTTCTTCCACTTTTAAGCTTCTAACTTAAGGCTACAATGAAATAAAAGACACAGCTATTTTTCTGATACAGTCTCTTAGATGTTTTAAACACAGCAGCCATTGGACTCCCATTCCATCAAGCTGGAATTAGGCATGTATATTGGACCCGAAAACATCTCTGGTTTGTCTACAGTACAACCATTTCAGGCTCAACTGCTTTGGCCAGTGACTCAAAACATTCAAAACTGCTTTCAGACAGCTAAAAATTACGAACCTAAGCTAAAGCCCTACGATCCTATTCCCTGGGGAATGATTGTCAGTAAGTTAAAACAAGCAATTTAACATACTAAGAACTTTTCAAGGTTTTTGCCAAAAACACCTACTTTGATGATGTCTATGGTCAACTGACTACAAGAGTTGGCTTACTAACCAAAATACTAAAAAATGTCTGTCAACAGAGGCTAGAGTTTCTTTCTATTACTGGTTCTTGCTTTAAGAAAGTGGCAGGCATTGGAAACAGTTGTGTCCTGAAAGCTTACCTTCTAGTAAGTCTCTGGCCAGACCTGGTTCTGCCCCTGTGGACCGAACAAAGTCTGACAGGACTGCATCCATATCAAGAGTCATGTGATCATTCAGAGATGCTGCCAGACATGAGGCAGCAGCAGGACTCGCCGATTGGCTAGAAGGCATCCATCTGCCAAGGAGAAAAAGAAACAAAGTTATGGAACATACTCCAAAATGATGGAAATGTTGTTTTTCCTCTCTTCATCAAACAGTGCTAATAGAAATGCTAGAACATACAAGTTATGATATTTAACAGCATTTATCATTCACTTCTGCCTTAGCCTAGAAGCTTTTGGTCACTCACGCTTTCTTCCTAGTTCTCTTTTTTTATTATTTTTTATCGATTTTTCTCATCTGCAGCCTCTGAGTAATTCCACCACTTGAAGAATCAAACTAAATGTAAGCACTTTTCATTCCAAACACAATGACCATATCATTGTCTGCATGGATAGAAATTCTCATACACTGAAGTTTAGCAAATATTTAAATGTTTGACTAGCCTCCAGCTCTTTTGCTTTACTAATGCTAACACACGTAGGACAGAGTTCAGTATTTGTTCTTTTATCTACTCTCTCTCTACCACTTCCGTAACTTATTGTTTCCCCATTACGCTGTCAGTCTTAGATGGACTTTACTAACTAACTTCCTAGATTTGTGACTAACACAGTGCCGATAACACATCTATGTTCTAGACATTGCTAAGAAGTGCTTACACAGCATCAAGGCCATCTCTGTTTCCCACCCTGCCCATCCAGAGGCTGTGAAAGAACAGAAGTATGACAGTGACCCCAGCACACCAAAGGGACGTTCCATGCCATGTAAATATCACGCACACTAATAAAACTGGAAGAGAATCTTTCTAAAGTAGCTGTTGCTTGGAGACTGGTTAGGCATCAGTCTGCTTGTGGGAGGTGGTGAGTGATTGCCTTTGCGTCACTTGCTTTCCCCCCCCACCTCCTCTATCCTTCATTTTAATTAAACTGCTGCTATCTTGATCCATGACTTTTTCCTCCTTTTGGCTCTTCCAGTTTTCTCCCATCTCTCTCTGCAGGGCTAGGGGGACAGTGACTGAGCAGCTGGTGGGTGCTTAGCTGCTGGACAGGATTAGCAAACTCAGGGCTTGTTAAGGACAGCAAACAGCAACAGCGGAAAGCAATGTTGTTTTCTTTGCATGGGAGAATAATCAAGCAAAACTGGCCTAAAGTCTAATTTGGTATTTGACCCATGTATTGCTGCCATCTCCCAGTTCTCCAGAAATGATCTCATTAAGACAATAATTTTATCTTTCCCCTCCTACTCCTCCTCCTCTCCTTTCCCTCACTTTGTGAGGAAATGAAGAAGGGCAACTCCCTCCTCTCTCTAGGATAGACGCCTCCTGCCTTGCTGAAACAGCCCTTCAGTGTCTCAGATATAGATGTGTAACCAGAATGCTCATATGATGCAGAAAGATTGCAGGTGCCATCCAGGTAGAGGGAATTACCACCTGTCTTCTCTGACACCGTGGTATGGAGGTCTAATTGGGAAAGACAAAGTCATTAGCAGCTCAGATCCACCCCTGTGGGCTAGACAGTCCACAAAAGGACTAGAAAAGGGCAACAATCCACATATTCTGCATACAGCTTCTGTTCAGTATAAAGGCAAAGCATCCTCTGAAAGAAGACCTTGCAAACTACCAAGGCAAATGGACTAGAGTTAAGAATGGTATCCAGTATATGCGGCAATTAGCAGTGGTTGGAGGTGCTTTACAGCAACCTGGAGAGCAACCAGTCCTCCAAAAATTTACATCAAGTCCAGCATGTGCAGCCCGTGTCACCGAAGTTTGTATGGAACACACCAAGGCCATGTATCAGCACCTCAGCCACAATGGACTGGACAGCCACTGAGGTACCAGCTGAGGACAAACTAGCCTGCTGGTCTCAGAATATGCAGCACATTCCTTTTTAAAAAGAAAAGCTTAAGTGAAAAGCACAGCATAAAGGTGCCCAGTATAAATTACATCACTGTCATACACCGAGACAGTCACAGATAACTGACGTTCCAATTAATAAACCTCAGCCAGGTGACCTCCAGGCAAACAATTCAACAGAGCACAAAGCACACTGAACACAGCTCAGCTGAACACAGAGCATCCTTCCAGACTCCAGCATTTCTGTAGCTGACTTTCTGGTGGTAAAACCCTCTCCACAAAGCAAAAAAAAAACAAAAACAAAAACCAACACCTGCAACAAGGAAGCACCAAAAACTTGGACCGACTGAGGTTCAGCTGGGAGAGTTAGGAAAGGAAGGTCCTAACTAAAGTTCACTCCTCTTCCTTTTTTCTTTTTCTGAATAAAGCAATTAGAGCACTACTTAACGCAGCCAGGTACACGTAAGTCTTCACTCCTTTTAATAAGTAGTTATACCTAACTCCTGCCCTGACTCTCATCTCTTCAGGGCTTCCTAAAGCTGTCATCATGCAGTACCAGTTTAATCATTATCACAGACTTTTTTCTACTTCACAGCAGGATTTCTCATCCCAAGGCCAAGTGGCTCAGTTTTAGCAGCCTGCTGCCAGCTGTGAACACCAGCATGGCACTGAGGCAGCCCTGCACAGGGCCATGTCCAGCTGCCAGCAGCAGAACTCCAGAAATCCGAGAAGATGGTGCTGCAGACACAGCCTGTGGGGCTGGTTCCAGCCAGCTGTGCCATGACAGTGCAGGACACGGTGCCTCTCTGCAAGCAGTCTTGCTTGATATTAGTTTGGAAGGTCGGCTTTGAAAGAGTGAGAAAACAAGTTGATATTACTGTGTTTTGTATCTACTTTATTTTCCTTGGGAAGTCAAACCCAGCCTTCAACATAATGTTTATAAAATAAGGAAAGAGAAATTTAAGCTGGCACCTTGACAGTAGCTAGTAAAATAGCTGGCATCCAAAACAATTATGCTAAAGGTATTCCCCTGCTCATTGCAGGGGAGTTGGATTAGATGACCCATAAAGGTCCCTTCCAACTCAAATAATCCCACAATTCTACGATCTCCTTATTCTAGCCTGCCTACACTGTTGTAGAAACAGCGCAAAGCAAATACGACTGGACCACGTTTAACACAACTTAAGCACAGGTGCGGATCTTAATCCCACTCTATTTCTCATTGGTCAACATCTACCTTTAAATATGAATTAGATCATTCCTGTTAACTCCTCACGGGCTCAAATGCAACTTTGCCAAGTGTAAGGATGAACACTGACATTCCCTACTGGGAACAGATGATATGGGCTGGCTCTTGCTTGTACCACAGCTACAGAGGAATCAAACTGAAGAATAATTAATTAATTAATTAATTAATAGAAGGAAGCAGTTGATTTCCCTGTTACCTAAAGGAACTAAGGTCCTTTCCAAAGGATCACCATGGGACAGGAAACATTTCTAATAGTTAGAAGAGGTGGGGTAAAAAAAAGGAAACCTGGAAGTATTGAAATGGAAGTATTGAAACTTAAAAAGGAATGTTGCACTTTCTTTTTCTTTACTTTAAGAGTACTACCTTAGTCAATCACGGCCAAAGTCAACATGTAAGCTCTGTAGCAACTGAAGCCTTTTTCTCTGTTTAAATAAAAATGCAGGACGATAATGCTGCTATTGTTTGATACATTCTCACAGACAGATCCACTCTATTAAACAGAACCTAACATCCATACAAAAAGACCATAAGAAACCAAATCCAAGAGATTTTTTCAGTGACTAGGAGCATGAGGCGAATCTTAACCAGCAGGAAGGAAATATATGGACCACAGTAGAAGAATTTGCTGCTGGTGAGTGATACAAAGCATTAGAAAATTTCAGATTCTAATACTCAGTGACTCAGTAGTATTGAGTTTATCACTAGTTATTTAAAACGCACCAGTTGGGCAATCAAGTGCAGTCATTATGTCTGTGTGCTAGACTGCTCATAAATTTTGAGAACTTAAGTGCCTATCAGTCTGAAGAAGTCAGTTCATGAGTTGCCTCAGGATCAGCATTATTTCAGTATTTTTCACTTTAGTATTGAACAGATATCCTTTTAGCATTTGAAGACAGGACTGATCTCTGCATTTATGACATCAGCAAACACCCCAGAATTCCCTTGTGATTACATGACCATCGGAACCCACTCAGTAACCACATCAACAGAAGCACGTTATTTTTAATCCAGCAAAGGTTAAGTAATGAAGATCTTTTCTATAAACTAAGTTCTTTCTGGTTCACTGGCTACATGTAGAAAATTGGTTATCCCCACATACCGACAGCTGATGAAAACATTTAAAAACCAGAGATGGCACTTGCTGCTTTCCTGAAAAACAACAACATAAATTGAAATAGTATCCAGATTCTGTTATACAACAAATAGTAGTTTTACAGCTAAAATACAAGTGACTTATGTTGATTGCTAAGACAGCATTAAACCAGATCTCTCAAATCCACGACAGCATGAGGAATGCTCTAGCTGAATGCATCTTCTGTGCTTGTGCACTATGCTATACATGTCTCTAGGATCCGAGTCCTCTAGAAGCACTTAGAAAACCTGCACAAAAGCATCTATGCTATTTAGATTTTCCTGGTACTCATCAGACCTGAATTTACAAAACAGCCTGAATTAGTGGTGTTTATTCAGACAGAACTGCCTGAAAAATGGAAGGGTTCATACAGCCACATGTTCATGAACGTTAAAATTGAAAGACAACTAAGAACAAACCCATCACTGATTACTTGAAGTAACCACTGGTTCATCATTATGGACTACTTAAAGATGAAATCAGACATGCAGAGATGCACTGACTGGAGCTGGACTCCTGCTCAGTTCCCTGGAAAATTCCAAATTTTATCTGTGCTGTATTAAGCATATCCGAAGCTGTAAGAAACAACTAAAACCCCTGCTATGCAAGCAACTGAGTAGTAGCCTGCTGCAGAAACTCTTTTCTCATACACTGGCCAAGCCTTACAAAGTCTCTGAAGTACTAAAACTTGAGGTGGTACTACTAAGCCCATAAAAATTAACAGTTCTATTGAAAAAAGTCTCTAAAGACAAATTACTAGGTCTCTTACTACAGCAATATTTTGTTGTTAGAACTATATAAACAATTTCACTTTTTTATTTCTTTCAGCAGACTATTTCTAGT